TCTAGATGTTAGGAAAGCTTTTGATAAAGTCCCACATAAAAGACTCATACTGAAACTCCTATCTTATGGAATAAGTGGAAGGCTTCTTGAGTGGATAACTTCCTTTCTTACAGGAAGAGAACAGTTAGTTAAAGTCAACCATCACTTATCAACATCCAAACCGATAACCAGCGGCGTGATACAAGGTAGTGTTCTTGGCCCTACCCTATTCATTGTATTCATAAATGATATTGTCTCTATGATCAAGTATGGCAAGCCATACCTCTTTGCAGATGACCTCAAAGTTGTCTATGATTTTGACTATAATGATATGAATATTGTTAGTAAAATCCAAGAAGACCTAAATAGTCTATGTAATTGGAGTGAAAAGTGGCAGTTAACGTTCAATCCAGCTAAATCTGGGATAACATACTTCGGACGTTGGAAACCTAGCATGTGTCTATACATGTACGGTGACCTTGTCTCAAACACAAACACAGTCACAGATCTCGGGATAACATACTCAGATCTTACCTTTACTGAACATGCAAATAAGGTGGTATCTGATTGTAAACGTCTAACCGGCTTTGTGCTACGCAACTTTTACACTCCAGAAGCCAGATTAGCCATATATAAGATATGCATTCGCCCCAAACTTGAATACTGTGCCCACTTATACAGTAGCTTTAAATCAGCAGACAGAAAAAAAGTTGAAAGTGTCCAAAGATTCCTTACGAAACGCATATTAGGCTATGGTCAGCAAATAGAATACCTTGACAGATGTATTCGACTGGACTTAGAGCCCTTATGGTTAAGGAGAGTGAAGTGCAATTTATTTCTCTTATTCAAAGTTATAAGAAAGCACTGTAACAGTAACTCGTCCATAACCTGGGCTAATCCTAAATCGTATGGACTACGCAACCACAACTACCTTCTCAAGGTTAACACCCATAAACTCACCACTAGAGCTAACTTCTTCACCATTAAATATTGCAAACTTTGGAACCAACTACCCTCTGAGATAAGATCCTGTGAAAGGCCTGACAGTTTCAAAAGGAGCCTAGAAAAACATATAAACATGTCCACCCTAGCCCGCCTCAAAGATCTCAACTGCTGGTAGAGTGGAGAGACAATGGCTTTTCAATATTTAACTACGGAAAGTACACTAGTTCCCAGACTAACATAATAATACTTAGTAATTATGTAGGTTCAATACTTGAAATTCGATTGTCATTAAAATACTTAAAATGATTAAAATACCTATGCGGCAAATGTTCTCTTGGTTTACCGCTCTTATTTCCCTTATAACACTCAGTTATTGAGCCTAATGTATTCTTTGATAATACGAATTATGACACTGACTATGCTCTTATTATACATAGATTGATTTACTTTACGACTACCTGTAGTACTAACTACCCTTCTGTAGTATTGTTAACCAAATGCTGAAATTTTGTTGGTTCTGTTAATATCTTTTTATAATATATGTAGACAGGTTACTTTGCAATGTCAAATGTTGACTATATATAAGACTGTCATGATAATTTAGTACACTAAGTCCTGCCAACCGACCTTACCTTCAGTTCATACTACCTACATTGATCCCTAACTATATTGTTCTGCTGAATCTTGCTTCACTATTCACAAAACCTATTCTTTTTATTCTTTAAGGTTCTAACTTCTTGTAAAGTAATCTGTTCATTAGGACGCATGCATACATATATAATGTTCATAAAGATGTACGCGGAGACCTATTGGAAGCACTCATTAAGAAAGCTAGGGAGATGGAATATGAGGTACGAACATGTCTGGTACCAAGCAATATATTTGCGGTAGCCATAATAATCATAGTCTCAGAGCTTAACATCAAAAAAGGAGGGAGGGTGGCGTTAGCTGATCAGTAGATATGGTGGGGTCACTAAGGTGAATCGCCCCATTCTGCAGGAACAGCAATATACAAATTAAAGGCTCGAGATATTTCTGATTTTTATGAGGGCTTAGATCTTTATCTTGAAAAAGATAATAATGAACGCCTTGACAGATCATGCTTCTACCTTTAAATATATACCATTCGCTCAGCCTATTGTTGAGATGCGACCACGTGGGATCTGCACAGATTTATGGGGCATCTTATAAACTAACTTGCTGTCCATTGTCGGATACCACTTCACAATGTCTTATCTCATTCATTTTCCAATAACGTCTTTACTTGATCCTCATTATATCCCATTAAACCTAACATTTTACAGCTCTTTATGACTTATTATATTCCTACTCTCTGAAGGGTACGGTTGTGCACTAAATGCACAAAAAGGTATAAAACAAAAACAACTGGCACAACTGAGGATAAATGTATTAAAACCAAAAGTGGACATCATGATAGTACGAGATATACGTGTAGCATTATACATTGCAAATGAACGTTGTCAGCCTAGGGAGTTTTCTTTATTAATGCATTTATTAATGATACTTGCACTTACCTATTTCATTACAATTTAATGATTCACCTCAGCACTTTTACTTTTCTAAAACAGCTTTCAATCCCTTGTAAACGTTGTACTTACCTCAATATTGGTTGGTTATCGTATGCCGACAACCACGGGATGAAAACGAAACGAAGTCGATTTTCCCGCTCAACCTGGAGGACAATTGTACAATTCAATAACTATACAGCCTAGTTCAGACAATGTGTATTTATATATATATCAAATATTTAACTGTTGAAACATTATTAACTTGTAGACAATCTACGATTTGATATTATATCATACTTGATCGTGCCTGTAAAAATGGCATGCATTTTCATGTAAATTTATATGTTTATATGAGAATATACATTATTATTTTTATTATTTTCAAGGCTGTACAATCGCAAATATACATGGTTATTTTGTGTGTGTGTGTATACATTAAATTTGTCAAACTAAAATACAATTAGTAAGTTCAGATAAATTGGATATTGATAAGAGGATAGCAACAAAAGTGATGAGTTGTCATAAATGATTGTTAAATAAGAGTTACGTAATGGCATGAATAGTTTGGTGAATGAGTTGTGCTCAGGGTGTACATGGAAACAAAATACTATACAGAATTACACAGGGGTTTTAAGTTAGAAAAATAAGCATACAAACACAAGTAAGGTCAAATCAAACAAACAAAGAAAAGTCAGGTAAATCAAAGGAGTAGTTACCATGCGAGTAGAAGTGGTTGGATAATTTTCTTTTGTATGCATAGTTCTGCTTCCACCAACTGGATGGCTAGGGCTTCTGCTATGCAAAGAAGACGGAATCGTACTGTCTTTGGAAGGCTGTTCTTCACTTTGTAGATTACTTTGAAGGATGCGTTCGTTGAGATGGAATGACCAGTGTTGACGAGATGTCCGATTATTGCACTCCTTATATGGCCATTATTTCCTTTCTGAAGCCACGCTGGATAGTGTTCTTTGACCCTTTTTGACAGGATGCGCGTTGAACGACCGATGTACCTGGCGCCACAGCAACAGGTGCCATTACGTAACTCTTATTTAACAATCATTTATGACAACTCGTCGCTTTTGTTGCTATCCTCTTATCAATATCCAATTTATCTGAACTTACTCCTCTTTAACAATCGTTTTTGACAACTCATCACTTTTGTTGCTATCCTCTTATCAACATACAATTAATCTGGACTTACTAATTGTATTTTCGTTTGACAAATTTAATGTATACACACACACAAAATAACCATATATATTTGCAATTGTACAGCTTTGAAGATGAATTCGCCGAAAAGAGACTCTTCGCTGAACTACTTGTCTTCTGTCTACCAAAGTTACGAAGACATTTTGACGTTACAGTGAACCTCACTATTGTTTAAAATTCTGAGACGTTATTTACAATGATATAAAGTTATAGGATAATTTGCGTAAAGATCTTTCTTTGTTTCGATAAGTACTTCAATAATGCAGAGTTTTCCAAACCCATATCAATCTAATTCAACAGACAGATGCTGATGTCAAATGTGAAGTGATTCAAAACAAATACTCAGTTAAGCCTTCAGAGTGAAGACATGAGTAACAGTAGACTATTCACTACCTCCTACGCTTCCCTGATTACGGTGGTTTGGATCGTAGAAGAGGCCCTGAGGGATGGACACACGAACAAACCTTGGGCCAACAAAATATTTTAAGAAGTTGAGGCTTCTCGAAAGATTTGTTTCTTATATAGCTTAACCTGGAATTTTATAGGAGAGATACAACAAGTCGACAGAAGGAAAAGCGAAGTCAGGGTGTGAGGTGAACACAGGTAGGATACTTGACTGTCAATAACAAGCGCTGGTCACCATCAAGGGGAAAATTGCTTCCCTCATTCATCAAAGAGGCATCATCTGAACTGCAGACAGCAGAGATAAGGATATTAAGGGTGGGATCAATAAAACAAGACGGATTTTAATCGGTCTTAGGTCCAGTGTAGTCGTATACAGAAAAATACCCGGATCTTCGATACTGGTGTCAAGCTAACGCTTCTATATATTTCAGAGAATCGGTGCGTGCGTCATGCAAAGCACTTCCAGCGGGCTGCAGACTTTAATTAGCAGTTACATTCACTGACCGGATTATGAGTATTGTATTGACAGAAAGAATAAACAACAAAGGAACAGAGTTAGCGAACAAACCAGGCCCGATAAATATGGTTAAGGAGATGTTGGTAGATTGGAAGTACATTGAGGACGCTGTTGAGTGATATCAGACTACAGGGAGACTGCCGATTAGAACTTGAATAGGGGAGTAATAGGGCGGATATACGAGAGTGGTGCGAAGATCCGGTTGGAAGCCTGATACCAGTTGTACAGACTGGTGAAAATAATGACACTGGGTAAAGTTCAGTGGAGACGTGAATTCCTTCGAGGTCCCAACATCACCGCCCAATTCTTCGAAATTAGCCTTGAAGGACGCATACGGCTAATCAAAAGGATTAGGACAAGACATTCTGTCCCAAAAAATTTTGGAATGAAAACTACTGGTAGGGTCCTGGAATTGAATGGCGCTATGGTTGGTTTGAGCGTTACTGTTCTTTCTTTCATTAAGATAGTTTCCCTAGCGTTTGGACTATCATGTATGCGTAGTCCAGCTTAAACACAGCATGTCAACTGCTGGAAAAGGTATTGTTTGGTGCTAGGTGAGTGTTTTGTGAATGATAGCATACGTGAGCGTACCAAATCGTATGATATAATATACATAAGGAAAGTTGAATATGAGATAATGGGGTAATTTTGATTGGGTGGAACATGGGTAAGAAGCAACAAAAAGAACACCATTTTTATGTTACTCCGTTGGATGTCACTAACAGCACATTGCACTTGGTAGGTATTTATTTCGTATGCATTCAGTGTAAGGATCGTTGATGTGTATATTGTACCTACAAGTGTAGAGCAAATGATAGTTTTCTGTAATACTTATGCTCATTTGTCTCGTGCCTAAAGTTTCATGTAACTGCCCATAACTAATCGACTAAAAACCCATCGAGGGTATGAACAAAACACAACTGCAGTTGTGTATATAAGATGGTGCCATATTAATAATAAGGCTTATGACGCAGTGTTCATGCCACTGACATAGGAGTTGATGTAGCAATGGTTAGTATTATAGTGTTTTCACATACTCGTTATCTAGAAGTAAACTCTTGGGGACAATGTTAAATGTTTGTGAGGTCAGTTAACATTAGTCGTGTGTGGCTGCTAAATGTAAATAGCAAGCCTAGTCTTATTTCGAGTGGTATGAACCACCACATATTCACGTGTATTGCAGTAAAGGCTTCTGTAGTACGGCTGGAAAGTAACTGAATAATGACCCCAATTTCGACAACTAGATGTATTGATCGTGATTCTTTTGATAAAATTTTGATTCAAATTAATAATAATATTCCTTGCTGTCTTAGTTAACGACAATTTTCTTCTGAGCTACTACTGTTTACTTCGTTTCTTTTAATACCTCAGGTTGTGGAAGCCTGTCGTAGATACTAGGCACTAAAACATATTAAGGCTTTCCTGGCAGCATATGTTAATTATTTGAAACTCGGTTATTCGGAACCAATTTTCTTTATACTAAGCTATAAACCGCGCTTACTGTTTTGTAGCAAATGGGACTGTCCACTTAATTACTATTCGTAGCATTCTACTTTTAAAGTTGAAGACTCGTTTTTATCTACATTCAGAGTTAGTATTACGAGCCATGACTGACGTTAAAATCGTACTGAAGACAGTAATAGTTTATTATTATTTACAAATTTCTATACAAATAAAACAAGCCGAGGAATTTAAGTACAGATGATATTTGCTTGAGCATAAAGGACATGAGTTGGTTGAAGGAAAATAGATGAAACTGATAAGATGCGCAGCATTTTTCAGTAGTGTGTCAAAAATGTTTTATTCGACATAGTAATTAAAGCTACAGGGAGGTAACGTAACTGTCAACTATTGTACAGTTATGAGCTATATTTTATCCACTGCTCTTTACGCAACTAAGTATTATCTATCATTACCACATCAGACATAAATAGTAAAACGTGATTATCGAAATTATTTTGGCTACTAGCTTATGAATCGCACTTATGACATCTCGTTGTTCACAACGCTTAAACGTGCTATTCGAAGTGTCTGTTTTCGACATAGAACTTTGCACAAATGTGCGGCAGTTCAAGTCGCCACACTCCATTTAGCACACGAAGCAAGAAAAGAAAGTACAAGAAAAGCATAATGGAGACAGTAAGCAGAGGTGTGAGACAAAGGAGGAGTAATAAAGAAAAACAAAACAGTTTCATTGGAAATCATAAGTCACAAGGAGTGGATGCATCTGCGCTAGCCATTAAGAACGATTTTGAGCCATGTCACCAATTGTTTCCAACCATTGGTTTTTACCGTCCCGAGGACCCCAGCCTGGAAGTCTACACCTTCCTACGTGGCTTGGACCAACTGTTGTGGATTTCATTGACTGGTGCCAAGTTTTTGTTTGACCGCCGCTAGCTTTTTTCCAGCCTGACCGTATATCCGCTAACATTGCTCGTCGAGGGAGGCGATGGCTTGGCATACGTAACACATGTCCCAACCATCTCAGTCTTTGTAACTTCACGACTTCGTCGATTGATTTCCCCTGTCTACCTAGAACTCGACGCCTAACTTCAATGTTGCTCACCTTATTATGCCACTTTACACGGGAAATAGAGCGCAGGCACCTATGATCAAAGACAGCTAGTCTTTTCATGTCTTCCACTCTCAGTGGCCAGGTCTCACAGTTGGCCATAAAGGAGGACGGAGCGGACTGATGAGCAGTACACCCACCCTTTGGTCGATAGTCGAACAACTCGTCTACACCACAGACGGCGTAAACTGGCAAATGCGAAACGAGCCCCCTGTATTCGTGCTGAGATTTCGTCAGAGATCAACCCGTTGGCACTGGCTGATGGTACTTCCCAAATAAGTGAAGCGGTCAACGTGCTCTACCACTTCGCTTCCTATTTTTAAACTAGGCGTCGGTGTAGTCCAGTCCTGTAACATCATCTGCATTTGGCGGGAGCGAATCGCATGCCAAACATCCGTAGATTGCGGCTCAAGGTGTTTAGAAGACTCTGCATTTTGTCAGAGTCGTCGCCTAGGAGGACTATATCGTCTGCATATTCTAATTCAACGAGATTATTCCCTGGTATCAAGTCAATCCCTGTGTCTCTGAAGTCACTTAGGGTTAAGTCCATTAACACATCTATGATGAAGTTGAGTAGAAATGGGGATAATGGGCATCCTTGACGGACACCACTATTCGTCACCAGTTCAGATGGCAACTCGCTGTTAGCCCTCACCTGGCTGTATGAGTACGAGTAGAGTGCCTTAATCAGTGCAATATATTTTCTCGGCATGCCCTTCACAGCCAAGCATCTCGAGAGAACTTCTCGGTCGACAGAGTCGAATGCCGCCTTTGGGTCAAGAAATATAATGACTGTTTATATCCAGGGTGACTACTTTAAAGAAAGCGTTTTTTCATCCACTTTGGACATCGAGAAAATAGAAACAAAGCACTGTTGATCCTATCAAATTTTACTGTTGTCTATTTTCAATAATTCTGCTATCCTTATTGAATCTTATCGATTTGATGAAATGAGTGTTGTAAACTCAACTGGTTGACTACAAATAGGTGGAAATTTTCTTAACTATACATTTTTGATTGTTTAGTGAGTCTAACCTATTGTATATCTTACTGGATTTTTCATATAAGGTTTAACTGCCAGTCGTCCAGATGGATTAATCTAGATATATTCAGCAGACGTTGTCATAAATGGGATCATCCTTTTCCAATCTGGACAAGTCTTGGGGATGTACAGGTTTCGGAACTAGTAACAAAAGCCATCGGAAAGAATTGTCTGGATTATGCCGTTGCCCTAAAAAATGTCCTGCCGGCTATACATTATCTAGCCCTTCGCGAACAAAAACTAATACATTACATGTGAATGAACCATCCACTCCTATTATAACAAATCTAGCTTCTGTTAATGCATACAATTGTACTTGCAAAAGTTCATTAGTACATCACCATATAAACCCCGACACGTATCCGCCTAACTCAGATAGTGGACGTCAGTCGCATTGTTTTGATTCTCAAGGGTTTATATCTAGAAACTCAAATGTTCCCACAAGAGTAACTCATCCATATTCTTTCGCCGATCAAGAACAAATTCATATTGATCTACCCAATCGCCTGAATGAAAGTGAAAAGTGCAATAACAATACTGCTGCCAAAAAGAAGGATTTATTTACAAGTCTTTCGATGTCAACTGATTATGCTATCAAACAGTTTCAAAATCTTATATCCTCATGGTCATGCAATGAATTATGTTGTCTTTATCTGGAATATGAAGCATTATACGAACTACAGCTCCTATGGAAGGAAGCAATTAAAACTCGATCGAGAGCCCCTACTCTTATGGTAAGTTATTATGTGTCATTGAGACTTAGGGTTTTGTCATGTGTGAATTTTATTGAGATGAATTTATAAGAAATGATGGTATTATGTTCTACATACTGTATTTGTTTTAGTTCAGGTTGTTAACTCATTAGTGAAAGCTTTTGAGGGAGTTAATATCTGACAGTCAAAGATAGCCTGTCTTTATTCTAAAATAACTGCATAATATTTACATTTCTGGACACAAATTAGGTAATTTTATAATTGGGAATGTTATAGTCGGAAGGTACCAGATCCTAAAGTCAGGAAAATAGGGTGTTTATATTGCGTTGAAATTATTATGGATCGTCACTTAGATGGACAATATTGTTACATAATCTAAATAGGTAAGTCTCCCCTGGTAATAGGTCGATCCTTGAAACGTCGAAACCGACTAGGGTTACATTCATTAGCACATCGATAATAAATTAAAATAAGAATGGCAGCAGTAGGCATCACTGAAGGAATTCTCTGGTTGTCATAATTTTAGAGGGTAACTCTTCATAGACTTACGTGATTGGATACTTTGAGCCAAGTTCCCTTACTTGACCAATATAATTTCTCGCTGCTCATTTCGAAACCAGACATTGCAGTAGTACTTCTGGAACGATGGAGTCCAGCGGTACTTACAAATCAAGATATGTAGTTGATAACGTCCCAGAAGCTGTCGAATTGTGAAGATACAATCAATACATTCACATCCAGACCTGAAGCTTACTTAGTTTTCTTTTTTTCTTGAACTCCACTTGATCTTCTCTTGACGATGAAACCTAGAATTTTAGACGCTATGTTCCTGAAATTGTCAGAGGGGGATTTATTTCCTTTCTTGAAGATATTCCCATGGAACTATCTCAGTCCCACGTGCCAACTGATACTTCAGTCGATTTAAGCAATGATTTATCGCCATCTTCCTTAAACACTTTTGAAGTCATGCTACCAAGTCATTCTGTTTTGTCTCTAGACTTCAGCTTCATTTGGCGCACCAAAGTCTGCATAGCATTCAGGCTGGGGATATATGGCGTGCAACTCTTGGCCAGTTAAATTTCCCCCATAAAGTTTCATTTATGTAGTATAGGATTTTGGCACTGTGGTAGAGCAAAATTTCATCACGTAATAATTCTACTGGTTAAAGCACTCAGTGTTAGTGTAATTTACTGATAACGCTTCAAGTACAGTTTATTGTTTATAACCATGTCCAGGTGTTCACATAAATCTCCTACTTCGTTTATACAGCTCTATAATATTTTATCCTTTACTTTTATTGTTAATAATACTTTCTACATCTCTGGTATTAGTGTTGCATCATCCCTGATAAAGATGTTTGGTGTAGATTCGATGAACAAAATTCAGTGAATAATCTCTCCCCCCTCTTAATACATTATATTTTAGAACTTTATTATATGATTGTATTAGTGCATACATTGCATTTGTTGATGTTTTTCTAAGTTGGTTATTCTTTTGGGGTCAGTCATTTTATACTTAGCTATGCTCCCATGTTTCGATAACGTAACTGACTCCAGTCATCGGAGTGATCTATGTAGCTGACCTCACAGTTAGTGCTAGGTATTTTATAGGTTAAGCTCTTTTGTCTAATCTAGTGGGGTGAGTTAGTAATAATTAACGTTGCATCACTGTGTATTTTATGAAACATAATTATTGTATAATGGAATTCCCGTCAAAGTGTTCTGCTTGAAATCCTACTTGTCTCTTCCATTCATCTTGGAGATAATTTCACTTATCACAGGTGTTTTTACAACCTGTTTATCTCATGAACCTAAGGAGTTGGCGAATACTACCTATTACAGCTGCTTTCATCGCCCACTGGGAAAACTTCCAGTCGGTTTACTTTTAGAGAGCTTCTTCCCATCCAGAATCCATCTCATTATAATAACTGAAAGTGTTGCAATAGTATCAGTTTGAATTATTTTAGTGATCCTAGATATTATGATAAAACTAAGTGGAAATTATTTTCAGGCTGTTCGATTAGTTGTATGAATATATTTTCTAGATGGCGTACAATCGTATTCTCCTTCCTCTCTCTCTCTCTTTCTTATATATATATATATATATATATATATATATATATATATATACGATTGTACGCCATCTAGAAAATGTATTCATACAACTAATCGAACAGCCTGAAAATAGTTTCCACTTAGTTTTATCATAATATCTAGGGTCACTAAAATAATTCAAACTGATATATATATATATATATATATATATATATATATAACCCATGTAGCACTAGTCCACTGATCTAGACATTCAGCCTTCCACCTTTAATTCAAAGGTTGCGATTTCACTGTATCTGTAGAGGTTTGGATAACAAAATAAATAATAAACACCTGCACAGTGGATTCGATGTATTTTTAAGTGCATGCATGCATGCATACATACATACATATAGTTGCTGATCTACTGTGGTCTATACGTTTTTAACCGTTAAGCCATATGCACTGTTATTATGGTTAATTCCTTGGGTTCCGAGTGAAACAAGGTTCCGCTCTGTTCTCTGTTGTTCTTATAAACTAGCTTCACATTTGCCCAACCAATACTAAGTCCAGAAAAGTAGGATGGTTGGGCTTGAAGAAGATCAATTTAATCTCTACAGAAACTTCAAAACACGCGAAAAAAGTCATGCGTATTTAATATCAATCGATATGCTTTAGTGCAATAAACGGATAATGCTATTATCTTAATAAACATTATTCCTTCGCTCCAGGAAGAATTGACAACAAGAAACTCTGACAACAAACCAACCAAGAGCTGATTGCTCAACATATATGTAGGAGAAAATGAAGATAGACTGGACACACTGAGAAGACCATCGGAATGACACAAGGAGCCAGGCGCTCGAGTGTAACCTGAACGGGAAACGACGTGTTGGGCGTCCGAGTGTGATATGGAGAAGATCGTGCGAGGAGGAGATCAGAGACTATGAGCAATCGTGGGCTCACTTAAAGAGGATGGCAGAAAATAGGACAAAGTGGAGATGAGCTGTTGATGCCTTATGTCCCACTCTGAACCCAAGGGATAATAATAATAATAATAATAATAATAATATAGTATATGTGTATTACTCAATCAACTACAGATGTTTTTATTATTATTTTATTATTGTTATTATATATCCTTTAATTCCTAGAGGAACATAGGACTTCAGCTGCGTGTCTCTATTGCCTTCGGTTTTCCGCCAACTTTTTCACCCCGCTCCAAGTCTGCCCACATGCTTTCATCTCCTCTTCACATGACCTCCTCCAAGTCACCCATGGACGACCAACTCGCCACTTCCCTTTCGGGTTCCACTCGAGCGATGGCTTGTCTAGGGATGTCACTTGATGGTTTCCTCAGTGTATGGCCAATCCATCTCCATTTCTTCCTGCCTATTTGTTTCGTAATCGGTTCCTGGTTGGTTCGCTCACTGCCAGAGATCCCTGTTGCTGATCTTTTCTAGCTGGTCATCTGATCTTGAGTATTGAGCGAAAACAACTGTTAATGAAGGTGTTTAGTTTGTTTGAGATGCTCTTTATGACGCGCTGGCCAAGTCTCTGATCCGTATGGTAGCACTGACTTCACACTATTTTTTGCCTAATTTTGTAAAAATTCATTCTAATTACTTTAAAATATGTGTATGTGTGTTTAAATTTCACTTTCAGGATGATTTACATGCATTAGCAAAAAATGGTTGGTGTTTCAATATGTATCTTATACACAATGACAGTACACGTGAAGCTCATTCATATTTATTAGCTTCACGTTTAAGTACACTGGATAATTTGTTAAATTCACTACATCGTATAAAACCGGATAAATATTCAAGTAAATCAATCGATTCTTCTTCTAATTTAAAGACTATTTCTACGACGAAAGTTTCACTTCCAGGTACTCCCCTAACAAATACTTCTTTACATATTTCTAATTCATTTATCAATCATCCGTGTGATATGAAACCTGAAAAATGTCCAGATCTACTGTCTAGTTCACAGTTAAAACCTCAGGAAAATTTAGGCAAATTATCAGAAATGAATGAAAAGCATTTAAAAAAACTTCCTCACTTCATTGCATCAGATCCGAGTACTTTAAAAATGAGTAGCATTCAGGATAGCAATGATTCTTCAGAAATATTTTTAACTAATTTTTTATGCCAGTTATATACAGGTAATGATCCAAAACGTTTACTATCGAAACCTGATCTCTTACGTCAACCAGAAATGATGTCTGAACAATCTACACATTGTAATAAGATCAATAATGATAATAATTTGTTAAAATTATATAATTTTCTTAGATTTTCTTCTATTTCTCAAAGTAATAAATGTTTAATGTCAAGTGATTGTGAGCTAATCTTCACATGTCCATCAATACTTAGTTTAAAGTCTATTTCATTACCGTGTCATGCAGGTATTCTAGCCTGTCGTTCTGAATTTCTACGTCGTCTTTTGTTAAAACGATGTAAATCAATAAATCATAATCAAAACTCTATACATAAAATTGTTTTAGACGGGACAATATTACCAGCACATTTTTCTAGTGTTCTTTTACACTTTTTCTATTGTGATTATCTTAATTTGAATGAAATAGCCAATTTATTATTGATTATTGATAAACAAAAGATATTGACAAAACAACACTTTGATTGGCATATTGAACATTGTTCAAATAAAAATAATAATAATAATAATAATAATAATAATAATAATAATAATAGTAATATTGATTATAATTATTCATGTTGTAAGCCAATAGAAGACAATCAATCGCCAACGATTACAACACCATCATCATGTACACATGCTTATTCAAGTTATACAGAGTCGAATTCATCATCAGTATCGTTTTTCACGTTGATACAATTTCTAATGAATAGTTCTGAATTTCGTGTGAAACACTTTTGTTTAAAATGTCCATACTGTTTAACACACATAATTCAACTTCATCCTATTGGAGCTATTTTAGAGTTTCCTAGACTCTCTGAAGGTAAATATAGTTAATTACATGTGTACAGGATTCTTGTTTTATTTTTCCCTCCTGGTATAATTTCAATGATCGTTTAAAGTTTTGTCGTTGTAATATGAGGAACTGGTAAAGTAAGGTAACACCACTGCTGCTACTGTAGTGAGAGCTGTCTGCAAGCTAAAATTGTAGACAGCAATTTACGCCAATGTTTACGTCCCGAATCAGGGTCATGAGAAAAAACAAGAACAAAGACTAACCTTGAGGAACTCAACAACCAATCACAGCAGACTTGGGGTGGGCGGATACGATTCGCAGATATATGGCTTGATTTTCTGAGAAACGGTCGCAAGCAGTACAGAATAGCCTTCAGCAAGAAAACAACCAATCAGAAGAGGTTACTTCTCTGCTAACAATAACGCTAATAATAATGTACATAAAAATCTATAAATATCTGTTGATTTTCTCAATAAAGGATCTGTTGCTTGGCCCTTGTCTTCTGTCGCTACTCTACTACTATCTATTATCATTTATTACTATTATTATTATTCTTTTGGGTTCCAGTTGGACATAGGGCTTCAGCTGCATATCTTCATTTCACTCTGTTCTCTGGAGTCTTTTTGTAGCTCGCTCCACGATCACCCATAGGCTTTCATTTCTTCCTCACACTGTCTTCTCCGTATCACTTTCAACTCATGCCCACACGTCGTTTCCCATCCAGGTTTCACTCGATGGCTTGGAGCGTGATGTCTTTCAACGGTCTCTTTAGAGAATGTCCAATTCACCTCCATTTCTTTCTGCATATTTATTGGACAATAGATTTTTGGCTTATTTGCTCACTGAAAATCTCTGTTGCTTATGTTTTCGGGGCTGGCCATATGATCTTCGGTATAGAGCGAAGGCAGGTGTTGATGGAAGTCCTCACTAACCTGTTGGAGATGCTTTTCGTGACGTGCGTGCGAAGTCTCTGAACCATAATGGAGCACTGACCTGATGGCGTTAACAATTCGGATCTTGTTCCTTATGGTCACCACTACTATTATATCTCCTGGTTATAAATTTTTGGGCGATATATAAATGTCTGAGGTGATTGAATATAAGAACTTCAAATGTTAAAAAGAGATAGGTAATTTTTAGTGTTGAATTGGTTGTTCAGATTTCATAGGTCAGTAATTTTTTGTTTCTGCAAATTCATATCATCAATTGTACAATAAAGCTACTGAATACTACATACTTGTTTTTCTAATGGACAACTCCCTCAGCTGCATTCCAAAATAGACTGTAAATGAGTTTTGTTGCTATATCCTCAGTGAATGATAGTGTTCCCACTAAGACTCTAACCCAGCAACCATCGTTTCAAACGTCAAATCCATAAGAGCTACCTCCAGTAAAATGAGCCTTATATATTGTGTTGTTGAAACTACTATTTTTGAATTTCTTTTCGATTTCTTTTACTGAAATAAAATGCTTGGTTCATGTTTCAGGAGAAACACCATCACTCACCGAAGGATGCAGGTACATTCAACTGATGAGCCCCTAATAGGGAGAAACGGGCATCTTGAATTCTACTGCTATCCAATATCAACGAAGTACCATTATGTTCACCTTAAAGGCATCGTCAAAGCGTGTCTACTAGTAATGGATGCATCAAGAGAGACCGATATTTTTGATCCAATAAAAATCAATGAGAGTCTCAAATGACAAGATTAGTTGATATAAGTATAAAATTTGGGCACTAGTAGAGTATAACTCCATTATGCATAAGATTTTATTTTGATAAATCACAGTGTTAATATCAGTAAAAAGTTTGAGCATTGTAGATTAGATTAAATAAAGTATAATTATATTTCAATAGTTTACACACAATGATAAGTTTTGTTATTGGTAATATTTCGAGCAAAATTACTGCCCGTGTTCACGCCATTGTTGGAATTGTTTTATTCCTGATGACGTAGTTTGTGCTCGAAGCCTCATAATTTAATATTACTGTACAACACTGTGTAATTTATCAAAATAAAATCTTATCCATAATGGAGACAAGATTAGTTGTCGGCATTCAGTGATACAAAGTCATGAACTATTGAAAACAATAAAATGTTGGGCAGATGTTCCCCTGTAAAAATGTGCAATGTATTACTCTTTACAGAATTGGTCGTTTCACCATTACTTCACTTAATGAAGTCCTCGCCTGAAGAGGATCTTTATCTTCAAATCTGACCATCTGTTTATTATTTTATTATTATTGTTCCCTTGGGTTCCTAGTGGAACATAGGGCTTCAGCTGCACGTCTCCACTTGCTTCTGTCTTCTGCTGTACATTTCACCTGCATCCATGTTAGTCCATACTCTTTCAACTCCTCTTCACACGATCTCCTCCATGTCACCCTTGCACTGACGACCGACTTGTCGCTTCCCTTTCCGGTTCCACTCGAGCAATGGTATGACGCGCTCACGATGTCACCCAGCGGCCTCCTCAGCGAGCGTCCATCCGATCCATCTCCACTTTCTCGTGCATATTTGCTGGTTGGCGATTGGTTCTTGTTTTGTTTGTTCCCATAGTTTCTTGCTGGTGATTCTTTCCGGCCATCTGATCTTCAGTTTAGGGTATCTGTAACAAAACTAAATATTATTTCGTGATTTTAATGGAGTTAACAATACTGTATAAATTTGTATATTAGATATATTACACAGTGAAATAGTATTTATTGGATGACTTTTCGAACACAATTAAATATTGTTCATAACCACATCAACTATAACCACTCAACTTCGAAACTTTCGTTTTTTTTTATTTTTTCCGATTCGTTGTAGGCGTAGTAGAATTTTCCAGACGTCCAGGTGGACAGCTGTTGAATCATTCCTGCTACACGTATTCTCAGTTGATTCAATAAATAAAAAGCTTCCGTTATCAATCTATCTCTCTGTCCTGTTACATTAGATTTTACAACTGTTATCCCATCATCCTATTGTATGGTTGTGTGTAATTACATGCAGTGAGTGGCATAGCTGAACTATACTCTAGATTTCTTATCGTATTAGAGCCAAGGAGTCTAGATTTTGCAAGGCTTTTATCCTACCCTAGTCTGACTGACTCCATTCAACTAGTTTAACCCATGTATTTGACCTGACAATCATTCCAACAGGGTATTAGATAGACTGAATTGTTTTGTTTAATTGGTTCCAAAGGATCATTTAACCGACAAAACTTGTTTCTAATTGAGTTTGTGAGTTTGAATGCCACTCTTACTCCCGCATTGTTAAGAATTTTCCTTAAGGTTTACGAGGTTCCTTCTTTTTATTGGAATGCTACTGTTGATTTCAATTCCTTACTGGTAACGTTACTACCATTCTGTGCATGTTTGTCATACGTGTTATTATCATTATTATCACTACCATTATTAATAATTTTATTTCTACATTTTCCTACATCCCGATTAATTTATCAAGGTAATTATTAAGTTACTGTCGAATCAAGTGAGAACACGTGTAATAGGAATGATTTAACAGCTGACCACCCGGACATCTGGAAAATTCTACTACCCCTACGATGAATAGGAAAGAATAAGGAAAACTATAAAACGAATTTTTCGAAGTTGTGTGGCTATAATTGATGTGAATATGAACAATAATAAATTGTGTTCGACACGTCATCTGGTAAATAATACTGCTTCACTTTATGATATATCTAATATGCAAATTTATATGGGATCTCATATTACCAGAGCGCCCGAGTTTTACACAGAAATTAACAATATAGTTTCTTGCACAAATGGACTACAATAGTACTATTTAGTTACATTACATACTGGGTCGATAGGTAGATAGCTCTCTGCAAGTAAATAGTGACATCATTTACGATGTGGTGACTATTTCAGATATCAGCTGGTTAGTTAGATATTACTCAATTGCCCAGTAGTGGATTATGAGCTGCATTTTTTATGTGAAAGCTAATAAAACTACTGAATTGTCCAGGCTGAAGTAGATGGAGAGGAACTTGAACCACTGACCTACTAACTGAAAGTCGAGTGCTTAAGCCAATGAACCACATCTCCACGTTTCAGATAACAGTCAATAAAATATCTTGACACAAATAAAATCAGTTAGGTGGATTTTATTATTGCTTTGTTAGACAGCATACATATTTTCTTCATATAAACTAACAATTCACTTGATACTAATTATTCCCGCGAATTTGCAGTTCGTGATCGTAATATACAAAGGATATCCGATTGTCTACCGTCATACAGCAATCGACACACGAACTGCAAACATTAAGCAGCTAGGGTATCTAGAATTAGACCTGCTGTCATTCGGTAATTTTTCAAACGGTTGACCTATACTTATAAGGTGGATCTTCATGTTTTTCCACCAAATGTTTATGTGACTTCGTGATAGTCGTCATACATTTTTGTGTGTTAAGAGTCTCTGTCCACAGAAATCAGTGATAAGGTTTCAAATACTTATTGGAGGGGATATGAGCTTCGTCAATGTTGCAAACATTCTTTACGAATAAGTATCGACAAGCATAAAACTTCCTACTGATTGATCCCTCTCTTCTTTGGATGGTTTTGTTACGTCCATATTTGAAAAGAAAGCTTTTATTGTTGCTGATAAGTTTTGACTTATTCTTTTACGTTCCCGGTGGAGCATACAGTTTCAAGCTTTATGCGTTAAAGTTTCAGTAGCAGTGGTACTTTTTTTATACGAGGTGAGGTTACTGGCCTCACGCTCAACCTTCCCTCTTAACCGGGCTTACTATTGACCAAGCAAGGTAAAGGAGTGCGTCGGCCGGAGATCGAAACCTGGACCACTTGCTTGGTGGTTAGCCGGTGTTCTACCACTGGACCACAGACGCACTTTATTGTTATCGAATTTCGCTAATTTTCGAGTAGTAATATTCGTTGTTTGTTTTTGTTCCTCAGTATGTGAAGATTTACTGGCAGAAGCTCTTAGTATGCCGTTAGCAGCTACATCTGAGAGTTGGACCGGTGTATCTAGCTGTTCAAATGCACATGATGCTACTTCTTTGAAAATGAGTCCAATTAGTTTAGCTGTTGGTTTACTTAAATGGATTGATGAAAAGTCATCAACAGGATCATCATCATCACCATTATCAGAATCATTTTCAAATCTTCGAAGCACTATGAATTCATCAACTATTAACCGAAATGTCAAATCTAGTAGTGATACATTTTCATCAGCTGTGGATAATAATAATAACCAAGAGAGTTTAAAACCCGGTGATACTAGCCATCACTCTTCTCCGTACAGTGGGACATCACTTGGTTATGTATATCGTCATGCTCTGCAATGTCTACAGGAAAATTTCACATCATTAGTCCGTTCACCATCAGTTTTACGACGTTTATCACCTCGGCAACTTCGTGAGTTGCTTGACTCAAGCCTTATTCAGGTAAGATCATTTTGTTTTGCAAACATAATATGCACTTGTTCAATAAAATTTACGAAAACAAAATAGGATATGTTCAATAAACAAGTAAATAATTTGCTAAAGTGAAGAAAAATAATTGTTACTCAACAAACACTTGTGTTTCCGTGCAGGTAGCAATAAGCCATATCTGTTTTGTAAGGTCTAGTGATACCACCTCGCTGCCCAAACCATGGTAGGTGGAACAGGCTTCGAATCAGTAACCCTCCGGTTTGTGGTCGAGTCCCTATGTCAGTCAGCCACAACTCCATGTTTGGTAAAATATTAAGTATATCGGCATAATTTAGGAGATCACTGTAATCAGTAGACAACAAACAAACACTTAAACTTCAAATAGAAAATTGTCTAATATTAAATGATTTACAGTGTATCTTCATTTGACATTGCCTTATTGAATTAACTTTCCTGAGGTGTTAACGATTTTCTAGTTTTTGTCATGGTTATAGTTGTTTAGGAGTAAAGGTATACAGGATTTTCATCATGAACTGGTGCAGCAGGTCGGGTGTGAGGACAAATACTCGCCGAAGACATTGGCTGGGGTCGCGCTATGTCGTGAATTGGCAAAAGTTAGAATTCGTGGGTCATTGAATCGGGTCCCAGTGGCTTAATGGTATAGGAGCTCCCCTTGTAACCGGGAGGTCCTGGGTTTGAATTCCGGTGGGTGTGTACTGCTGAAGAGTTCCAAACTAGGACGGAGGAGACAGCTGTCCAGTACTCCCAGGTTTTCCGTTGGTTCTGTAACTGATGTCAGCTCATGATGAAATTCCTGTAACCAATCAAATCCCTACAAACCAACACTTGAGTAAAGATATACGTTTTCTATGAAGTTCTGTCCTACTTTCCTCAATGGTTGAATCGAAAAATGTTTAGGACTGCTTTCGTCTAGCTTGCTTGCTTGGTGTTAATAGCACTGGGTAAAAGTTTTTCACTCATATTGTGTTGCAATCGTTTTGCTTTTTTAATACTACTATGTGTGTAATAGAGTGATCAGTCTTTTCTAGTTGAGCATTGTTTCTTAACAACAAAGATAATTCTGACTGACTGACTGTCTGTCTGGTTTTAACATAGAACTTTGCACAGATGCACAGCAGTTCGAGTTGCCACACCCTCCATGTAGCATACAAAGCAAGAGAACAGAGTAAAGAAAGTTTCAAAAGAGACAGTGATCATAAACAGAAGTGTGAGAATAGTAATATGGGAGAACAATAGGGTTTTATTCGATATTATGAATCACAAAGAGTGAATGCATCTGTTCAATCGAGAACGATTTCGAGCCATATCACCAACTGTCTCCAGCTATTGATTGTTACCATCCCGAGGATCCCAACCAGTCAGGAAGTCTATACCTCTTGACGTGGCTTAAACTAACTGTTGTGGATTTCATTGACCGATTCCATGTTTGGGTTTGACCACTACTAGCTCTTTTTCCACCTGATCTTATGTCGGCTAACATTTCCCGTCGATGAAGGCAATGGCTAGGCAAAATGTTAATTTATTTCACTAGGTTTTAACATACACTGAATAAAGCAACCATTTCGGGTATGAGAACAAATACTTGTCGATGAAATTGGCTGGCGGTTGCAGCCGAAGAGCTCGCTTCATAATCTGAAAGTCTTGCGTTCTGTTTCTGGAGAGGTAATGGATGCGCACCACTGAAGAGTTCTAAACTAGGGCGAAACAGCTGTCCAGTACTCACTGGTTTTCAATGGTTCCTTAAATGATATGAATCCGTGATCAAACTTGAGACTTCGCATGAGATGCTATTCGTACCGCGTCGTCACTCTTTTCCATAAGAGTGGAATCATACAGAAAAGGTGTCCAGATTTGGATTTATTGATGTATACAGAGGAGTGAAATAAGTTGCTTAGAACTTTATTGTACTAAAATGGTAGCGATCTTACAGTTCATTGACTTCATGTACTTCGAATTATTTTCCCACTTCATAATGTGCTCTACCACTGGTATCCTTATTTAGGGTGTAAATTTGTTGTATGTAGCTAATTTTCAAATTCTGTTTTAAAGTGAAGTTTTAGTATTTTAGATCCATTCACTTTTCTTGAAAGATTCAATGCTGTTACCTTCGTTTGACATTTTGAAGTATAGAGGTTTCCAATACTAGTTGATCCTAGAGATTATGTTGGTAGAGCTTATCACACTCCGTTTTGATGAGAAATATTTTCCATTATAAAGTGAAATGGTCAATACTGAACACGATTTTACCCTGGAACCTAATATGACTTATATATTCTATTTAACGGGTGCCGCCGACAATTATGCATCTCATCCAACAGTTGTACGACAATGCTGCATGCCAAGTAATCCACAACGGGAAACTTACGGAATCCTTCGAAGTAAAAAAGGGAGTAAGACAAGGATGCCTACTATCACCAATGATTTTCCTGATTGCAGTAGACTGGATAATGCGACAGACAACGGCAACCAACAAGAGAACGGGCATAAAATGGACTGACACAAGAGACTTGGAGGATCTGGATTTCGCCGATGATATATGTCTGATTTCCCACAAACCGGAAGATATGCAAGTCAAAAGTAACAAGTTGGCACAAGAAGCATCAAAGATAGTAGGGACTTCAAGTGAACATAGATAAAACAGAGGTGATGAAGATTCCTGGCCAACACCAACAGCAACAACAACAGACAACAATCAACCAGCATAAATGGGAGGAACCTGAAAGAAACAACTTCCTTTACCTACTTACCTGAGAAACATCATTTCAACTACAGGTGAAATTGACGAGGATATCAAAGCAAGGATCGAGAATGCAAGACAAGCTTTCATTACTCTCAAGTCTGTGTGGAGGTCAACAGCACTCAGCATGAGAATGAAAATAAGATCCGGATTTTCAGCTCCAATGTGAAGTCAGTGATACTCATTATACGGATCAGAGACTTGTCACGTCATAAAGAGCACCTCAAACAAACTTCAAACCTTCATTAACAGCTGTCTTCGCTCAATACCACTCAAGATCAGATGGCCGGCCAGAAAAGATCAGAAAATAGTGAGGGATCTCTGGCAATGAGCTAACCAACCCAGCACGAACCGACTGTGCAGACCTGGAGCCAGGTGAAAAATCTAGGAGAGAACCGAACTCAATGGAGACGTGCAGCTGAAGCCCTATGTTCCTCTAGGTATTAAAGGAAATTCTATGTAACACCTTAGGTGCTTTCATTAGCAGACTTTTGCTACCATCCTTATAGATATCTTGAGGACGTATCGCTAGATTCTATTTATTTGTTTCGTTCAAAGCTTCGCATTGCCGTAGTTTATGCTCATTATGTCTACTGGGTTAATAATAATAATAATAATAACAGCTTTATTCCAAACAGTATTTGTGGTACAGGTATGGAATTTTCAGCGTGCATTACAGTATATTGCATCTAATTACCTCATAAATTATATAAGATTTTTAAAAATCAAAAATAAATAAAAAAAAATAAGTTATAAATAAAATAAATAAATATTAAAAATTAAGAAAAAAAAACAGCGTAGAGTATTTCATTTCAAACAATGCACCACAGGATTTGAAATATAAAGTTGATGTGTGGTAGTAGATGAGAACAACAGTGTAGTAGTAACGAGGAAAGGAAAACAAAAACTAATGGGACTATTTGTTAGAGTGCCGCAGTAAGTTTATCGTGTCATACCTAACGGATTTCTCATCACATAACAGCTGTGCCAGATATGGTATTGTGGAGTTTTTGTATTTGGTAGTCCTAGCATATAGCCTCCTATAGCTGCTTCTAGTTCTTCCAGATGAAATGCAAGGAGATAGATGCGTATAGAGAGGATGCTCGGGGTCCGACAATATTGTATTCGCTAGTTTCTTACATGACATTATATGTCTATCTACAATAGTGTTCACCAGTTGGTTTAACGATATCCCACTTGCCCTACTAACAGCTTTTAGTGCCCTTCTCAGCGAAGCAAAGTCTTTCTTAAGTAGTCCAGGAAAGACTAATGGGGAGCAGTAAAGGAGGATGGGTAGAATACAAGAATTTACAAACTGAGAAAGTAAAGACTGCTTTATGCCAGACTGCCTAAATTTCCTAATGTAGAACGTTAAGCGAAACATCTTTCTAGTAACTAGCAAGATGTGGGAAGACCAGGAAAGATCGGTGGAAAAACTCAGCCCAAGGTACTTGACATAAGATGTATTTTCAACCTCTGTGCCGTCAATGAGAGTGGGGCCATGTGAGCTAACTAGTTGCTGTAGGTCACATTTACGTCTGAAAGTGAAATTGACTACCTGACATTTAGACGGATTAAGCTTAAGTCCGTTTGAAGAGGACCACTGACTAATTTCCGACAGAAAGCTATTTAATTTGGAACAATCTGACTGAGAGTTGACAGGCATAGAAACCGAGAGGTCATCGGCATACTTAACAAAAGTGGCTACATCAGAATGAGGCAAGTCATGTAAGAAAAACGAGAACAGAAAGGGAGAAAGAACAGCACCTTGAGGAACACCAGCTAAAGTAAGTGAGGTAGTGGAGGATTTTCCATTGTAGACGGTGTACTGCTTCCTTTCAGAAAAATAGGAATGCAACCACTTATTTGTCCAGCTTTCAGCCTGTGTTGCAGCAAGCTTACTTAGCAAGAGAGACCTGGGAACAGAGTCAAATGCAGATGTGTAATCAAGGAAGGCACAGCGAACGTATTTAGCTCCTTTATCTAAACTAGAGACTATGCTATGGTGGAGGACGACAGCGGCATCTAACGTACTCCTACTATGTTTATAAGCAAACTGGTTGGGGTCGTTGAAAGGTTTTAAAGAGGGATCAAGATTAAGTAAAATAAGTCTTTCCATAACTTTCAAAAAGGGTGAGGTAATTGAAATGGGTCTAAACTTAACATTAGGTCCACTTGTAGATTTAGGCACTGGAACGATCTTGATGTTTTTCCATGATTCAGGTATAATACTTTTGGAAAACGATTCGTTGAAAATGTCAGTTAGCGGGGAACACAAGATGTCGGCACACTTCTTAAGGATAACAGCAGGAACACCATCAGGACCGAGGGACTGAGTAGGCTTGAGAGATTGAAGACACTTGAGGACATCATATGTGTTTAAGCATGAGAAGCAGTCATTGTTTACACTATTTGAGTTAGGAATCATAACATTTGCTGGGATACATATGAAGGATTCATTTAGCATGTTAACATCTACAGAAATATCATTCAACATTTGCTTACCACCTGTGATTTCCTTTAATAACTTCCACATATTTGATGGGGATTTACATGAAAGAAACTTCTGGTTATAGAGAGCATTCAATCTTTGTAATTCAAGCTTAATCAAAGTGTTCATTCTCTTAACACCAGATTTGTTTTTCATTTTGAACAACCTTTCTTTTTCACGGCGGAGCTTTTTGAGTTGAGAAGAGGAGAAGCGATCGAATTTTAAGAAGATTGTCTCTTTTGGACAACAAACATCAAGACAGAAATTAAGATAATGTGTTATGTTGGCAATTGTGTTATCAAGAGCTTGTTCAGTAAATAGATCCCAGTTTGTGTCTTTTAACATGGACCTTAGGTTCAGTATGTTGTCATGGGAATAACATCTGTGTTGTGTTTTCTTTCCAAGGTATGAGAAGACCCTTTTGTGCTGCTTTCCATATACTTTGGGCAATATTCTTATGATACAGTGATCTGAATTTAGTAGTGGGGCTCTTTTTCGAGCTTCAAATATTCCTGCATCGTTTGTAAAAACAAGGTCAAGAGTGTTGTCCATTCTAGTCGGGAAGTTGACAATATTATCGTGTCCAAGTGAAATTAGGAAGCTGTGGTCACTAGAATTAAAATCACCAGTAACTATAGACAAGGAATTTCCGAAGGAGGTGGCAGCAAGGGAAGTAAATTCATCCGCAAATAAAGATAATTCTGTGGAGTTGCATCCAGGAGCAATATACATGTTCGAGATGTAAATGTAGTTGTATTTAGACAAATGTTTAGGTCGACACTTAACGGTGAGACAGTCAATATTGTCACTAGAGAATTTGAAACATACATTATTAGACGTACACCATTGTGAATTGATGAAGATGGCGACACCGCCACCGCGTTTCTTCCTGGAACTACACCGATCTTGTCTGAATAGTTTGAAATTATTTAGATACACTAGATTGTCATCATATAGATCATGAAGCCATGTTTCTTGAAGTGATATGATCCCAGTATTATGATATATAATGGAAGACACCAGCGATTGAAGACAGTTAATTTTAGCCGGCAGGGAGCGACAATTGGTACTCATAATTGCGGGAACAGTCATGAATTGAATAGGGGTATTTTTTAATGCTCTCTGCCAGCCGGCATGATGCTTTTTCTTGTCTTTTTTATGGAGTTGCAGATCAGTAGGTTTTAAAGATATTAGATATTCACGAGAATAAATAATCCGATTTGAGGTCATATTTGAATAAGATTTATTGATTAAAATATCAATTAGAAATGAGAAATTAGATGCAATATGATTTGTAATGTTTAAGGTAATTGGTAGCCCAAGATTTAAGCAGGCCGCCAAGATAAAGAACCCTTGAAGGATAGCTATGGGTTAACTGGACTGTTTTTTTAAAAGGATTGAATGTGCTGTTATTTCTAAACGCTTGATTAGTCTTACCCAAACTGATACTCAGTAGTATCAACTTGATCAGTAGCTTACCTAATCAACTTATACCTTCTTATACCTCCCTAAACAAAATTACAAACTTTACTGTTTTCGGTCCTTATCAGCGAGAACTTTTGGTCGACATAAATCATCTGCTATTCAGAAGTATACGTCGTATAGCTCCAACAGTTATAACCTTTGACTTACTGATTTGTACATTCAACTTTCAACAATCATCAAATTTCTATAAGTACAAATGGTTGTTGAGTATCACGTTATATATTTGGGTCAATCTTTATCTTGAGTTTTGAAATTTAAACATACATAGTTTCATTGTGATTGTTCATTCTTATAAGAAGTATTCATATCATTGCCAGATTTTAATCTTTATAATTTACAATATTAAAATACAGGCTCCTGAATCAGAAATCCTTTCAGGCTTGTTATGCTGGGCTGAACTTCAACTCAAAGGTGATCAAGAATCATTTTTTGGTGTCAAATCAGGTCATGATAACAATAAAGGTAAGCATAATTTATTATGTTTTCTTAATATCAAAGAATCGAATCTTTATACAACATTTCTGATGTTAATTTAATACAGATAAAGCTTTTACGTACATATATCGGTATATAATGTATGGCGGCCTGTTAAACTGATCAGTTTCATAAAGGACTTAGTCATCAAAATGAGGTGCTTATACCATTGATCTTTACTCCTGCTATCATTGGTTATCACTTTTCTTGTTATGGTTGACGATAGCTCCAAGTTGCCTTGCTCATTATACATGGCTCAATGCTCAGTTAAGATAATCGCAATTTATGATTACTCGGTCCCAACATATAGAAGTTAAATACTAGAATAAAGTGATCATCTGGCGGCCTGTTTAAATCTTTGGGCTACCTATTTTTCCACAGAGCACAATGCAGTTGTAGTTTTTCTTAATCATGTATTTAAGTTCTTGGAGAACGGTGTGTACTATGTGCATTTTTGAATGGCTTCCAAAATACCACTCAGTCTGTTTTGAAGGAACAAATACATCGGGGGTCGGATCATGTTACAGAGAGAATAAAATTCTGTTGAATGATATACTGTAGATTTCTGTTTTACCTGAAGACTTTGTCTAAGGAATAGATGAAACTAAACTGGAAATTCTTTACTTTATATAAATGTGTTGTTCTATATAAAGCTGCTATTTTTATTATTATTATTTATGGACTGCAGGTAACAAATTTAATATATGTCTTATTAAGACATTTTCATGACAATTTTCTTAAAGAAAGGGGTAGCTTGTGCCATAAAATGGTGTCAGTTGGTGATATTTTGATAATTGGGAAGTAAAGTTATGTGTAAATAAAGTGCAAAAAAGCATTTCATGTGAAGTAGCCAGTGAACAGGAACCTTTGGTATTTTTATATCAATCCGATCTGGTATTGCTATGCCCATGCGTTGTAACTTCTAACTGGGCCATTGGATTGGGTCCCAGTGGCTTAATGGTCTACAGACTGGCCTTGTAACCAGAAGATCCTGGGTTCGAACCTCGATGGGGTGGATGCGTACTGATGAAGAGCCCCAAACTAGGACGAAACAGCTTTCCAGTACACCCTGCAGATTTTCAAATGGTTCTCTAACTGATGTCAGCTCATGATGAAATTCTCCAAACAATAATAATAACAATCAACAGCTTCCTATTCAGCTTTTCGCAACTGTGTGTGTGTTAATCGAAATGTTTTGATCAAATGTGCATTACTGTGAATAACCCAAACTGCCATTACACACTATTGTACCTTTGGAATACTTCATTAATAGATGTTAGGCAGTAGAGTTACAACTTCTTACTGAATGCCTCTTAACACTTGATACTAATGAATACACATTCTGTATTGTGTGTTTTGGAAGTAGTATAATCGTCATGTAGGCCTTTTTTAGTGTTGTTAAAAAATTATCAAACACTCTGGAATCAAATAAAATATAAATAAACTTAACTATTCAATGTTACCAATTAAAGTTGTTATCACTGTAACAAAATGAAACTTAACGATACTCGTGGTAATGTGTTTCTATTTAGTATTACTACTATTATTATTAAGAGTGTATTTGCCTCTATAAATTGGTGTATACTTTTTTTTGAATTATTATTCGTATTCAATCAAGTGTTTTGATATTTCATTATACATTAATGTTTGTTGTTACATAAGTGAGGCTTGTTGTGATAATAGTTAACTGAATATGTATCTACCATATACAATAGAGATAAATTTACGTTTTGTATAAAAGCAGAAGTTAATAAATAATTCAATATGAAAATAGATTTGTTAGGAAAATACTGAATCAGGACAATGATTTTATAAAAAAAAATCAAATAAGAGTCCTTTAAAGGTGTGCTAACCTCAACATCGGCCAGTATAACTGATATGTATCCACATATATATATTTATGTGTGTGTGTATGGTGATCTCTCTTTCTGTTTGCTCTCTTAGTCTGTGACCATTTCACTTGTATGAACCTGTCTCCTTTATCAATGTATTATTATTATTATTATTATTTATTGTATCCTTTAGTTCCTACGATATTATATTATATTATATATAATATGAGTGTTTGTTGACAGTCCGTTGCTTGGTGACATATATCCATATATGGTGGTTGTTGACATGTCTGTTATATTTTGCTATGTATATTTGGATCGACACTCCATTATAATTAGCCATTCATGTTAAGACTGTCTAATGATTTGTTCACACACTTGTCTGCACGGTCATGTATATATTTCGCTCTCACAATTTGTGTGACTTACACTTACTTACTTCGGTGTGATACCACTTATTGCTTCTCCTGGTGTTTGGAAAATAGAAGTATCGTCGCAAACCTAGTGGTCTTCTGATTTCCGCCTTCTTGCGTCAGGACTATTACATTCTCGACCAGTCCATAACAATTTATCGACGAGTACATAACAATAACAACTGAACTTACTTAGTACATAAAGTCTCATTGACATCTATCAAGAGTTTATTTGCTTTGAACAGATGTTTTTCTGAAGTGTTTTTGGTTAGTATTGGTCTTTACTACTCGTGCGTAAGTAGCTAGTTGAGATGTTTCAAGATGAGCTTCGCGATGAAAGCTACAACAGTCAATTCCAGAGCTATAGTTGTGTATTCTCCTGTTAACGTTTTTCACTACTTCCCCTTGGATTTATTGAATGAGTTATGATGATAACATGAGGAGGAAAGCATGGAAATAAACATGAAAAAAATCTAATTTCTAAGTGAAGTCCAGCGAACAGTTACTCTTTCCGGCGATATTCTTAAACTACACAACCGCATATATATATAGTATATTGTTATAACAACATATTGAATGTTTCCAAAGATGTGTCATACAAATTTTGGGTTTTAGGTGAAAATCAATAGACTTCAAAGAAAATTAAGCAATTTGAATAAAAAAAGAAAGAACTTATTTACAGAATAATATGAGCTCTTTTTATTTCGTAAATTCTCTTCAACTGAGTACATCCTACACAAAGTTAATTGTAAGTTACGAAATTGTGTCTGAACATACTTTTTACAATGACTTCAAGTTATAGACAGAGAGTATAGGCAACAATTTCAAAGATGATGTAAGCAGATGAATTATTCAGTGTTAAGAGAGTAGCTATTTATATGGTAACTAGACAAAAGATTCGCTCCCGCCAAATGCAAGATGATGTTACAGGACTGGACTACATCGACGCCTAGTTTAAAAATAGGAAGTGAAGTGGTAGAGCACGTTGACCGCTTCACTTATTTGGGAAGTACCATCAGCCAGTGCCAACGGGTTGATCTCTGACGAAATCTCAGCACGAATACAGGGGGCTCGTTTCGCATTTGCCAGTTTACGCTGACTCTGGCGTAGACGAGATGTTCGACTATCGACCAAAGGGTGGGTGTACTGCTCATCAGTCCGCTCCGTCCTCCTTTATGGCCAACTGTGAGACCTGGCCACTGAGAGTGGAAGACATGAAAAGATTAGCTATCTGTCTTTGATCATAGGTGCCTGCGCTCTATTTCCCGTGTAAAGTGGCATAATAAGGTGAGCGACATGGGGGTTAGGCGTCGAGTTCTAGGTAAACAGGGGAAATCAATTGACGAAGTCATGAAGTTACAAAGACTGAGATGGTTGGGACATGTGTTACGTATGCCAAGCCATCGCCTCCCTCGACGAGCAATGTTAGCGGATATAGGGTCAGGCTGGAAAAAAGCTAGCGGCGGTCAAACAAAAACTTGGCATCAGTCAATGAAATCCACAACAGTTGGTCTAAGCCACGTAGAAAGGTGTAGACTTCCAGGCTGGGGTCCTCGGGACGGTAAAAATCTATGGTTGGAAACAATTGGTGACATGGCTCAAAACCGTTCTCAGTGGCGCAGATGCATCCACTCCCTGTGACTTATGATCTTCAATGAAACTGTTTTGTTCTTCGTTATTACTCCTCCTTTGTCTCACACCTCTGCTCACTGTTTCTATTATGCTTTTCTTGTACTTTCTTCTCTTGCTTCGCGTGCTAAACGGAGTGTGGTGACTTGAACTTCCGCACATTTGTGCAAAGTTCTATGTCGAAAATAGACAGACAGACTGACAGAACTAGACAAAGAGGTGTATTTCAGATTTTGCTTGGGGACAAGGATGGACTCGAGACAAAACACAAGATACAACAACAGACTTAATTTATACATTTTATGGTGGAGAGTAGGAGTGAATAGTGAAGTAAAATTATAAAATAGATAAAATAATTAAATTTAGTAGATTTGGAACCTTAATAGTGAATTCAGCTCACTTCATAAGTGAAAATCAAAATGAAGATTGAGTGGAATGTTACGCAACAGGACAAAACACAAAAGTGCACGAACAAAACAATTACGATTACTAGGGTAGTGATAGATTAGTCACACATTATCTTTCTGTATGCATAGTTTGGGTCAACGTTTTTTGATGACAGTGGCATCTGCGAAACGAAGTAACCATGCTTGTTTTTGTGTATCCATTATTTTGAAAGCCTGACTAATTCCCACTGTATGTCCTGTGTTAATTAGGTGTCTGGTGATTGCGTTTGAGAACACTTTTCTGTCTTTCAGACGGGGACTTTTAGGGACATGAAGACAAAATACAAGATAGAACAACAGGGTGAATTTATACACGATCCACGAAATAAAGTGAGCTCGTATTATCCTGGAAATATGTTCGTTCTTCCTTCCTTCAAACTAATAAAGGGAACCGTTGTAGGAAATTTTGGTTGATGTGATTTCCTTATTTCTCATTCTTTTGGTTTAATTGGTAGTAATATTTCCCATAACACTGGTATCGGTGTTGCATTATTCTTATTGCAGGTGTTTAGTGTAGATTCAATGAACAATAATTCAATGATATGTCTCTTCCTCCATCTAACTGTATTACTTTTTAAAATCGCAGCGCTATCTCACTGTATTGTATGATAGAGTAGTTGTGCACGTATTGCGACAATTGAGTTAATAATGTAAAGAAGAAAACACCATTGAAGGACAAACACATTGTAGATACATAAATTTGGTATACCTTATCTTTAAGTCTTTATTTGCACATCATCTGCAAATTGCTCGAATATCACTACATTCGATAGCTTGTTGGATTCTGCACAGTGCTTCTAAGGTTCTTCTCATAGTTCTCTTCTTCGATTGCTTTTGCCAGTGTCCAAAACATATTGTTACTTTTCTGAATTCGTTTACTGACATACTACTTATATCTGATTATAAGTAGCACTCACCTCAAATATATAGTATTAGTGTATGTTTTTAGCAGATTGTATTATTCTATGATGAAATTATACTCTATCACATTGTCCGAATCCTATTCTTATGTTATACTTCCCTCTCCTTGTTGAATTTTGAACACGCTTGTGTCGTAGGTGTCAGAAGGTAGAAGAATGAGCAAGATTAACGAACCACATTATTTCTTTGCAAAGATCTGTGACATTGAAAAGTATGGAATTATGGGAGAGATAGGTTTTTGGACTCATTCTAATGTTTTTGAGAATGGACTAGTTGGCGTGTCTTATACCTTCAGCCTTCTTTAATATTGTTTTTTTTCGTATGTGTGTTGTGTGCACTCTTCTTTGTATTTGTTTACGGGTACACTGTGATGTAACCTGGTGGAAGTAGATTGATATGTGAGTATTTTGATACTGACTGGATTCAATAAACACGTCAACGGAATACAACTATTCTCCTTCGATACCTTCTGTTTCACCGAGTCACGTAAATATTAAAGACGAAGACAATGACTTGTGACTTAAAATTAATCCAGGTGAGAGGTAAAGAAAATCAATCTGATTGGTTGTATGAGGTGAAAGATTATCCTATACAAAAAGCATAAACTCTTCGAATGATGTTAAAACATATACCAGTTTTGAATAAGGGCTACTAGGATACAAGTAAAACTGAAACATTTCTAATGAAGCACGCCAGATATACGTATACTAGTATTGTTAGAAGAGACTTGCTAACGAACTTTTTATTAAGGAAAAACGCCATATTTACTCGTCGGATAGGTCAGCAGATAATAAACTGTTCTGATTGGTTGTCTATTTTCCGAGGGTTAAAGCTTGTGGCGAAAAGTGATCCAATGAGATTATTTCCTGACCACAACGTAAGCTAAATCCAGGTTTGAGAAATAAACATTCCTAATTCTGTAGCTATTGACCTAAAATGTTGTTTTCAATCTCGACTACTTCCTATCAATCTGTATGCATGTAATACTGATATATCTTGTCAGTAACACACGCCACCACATGAAACAGTGGGGATGTAAGTTGATATTATTATTACTATTCCCTATATTTCCTAGAGGAACATAGGGCTTCAGCCTCACGTCTCCATTTCGTTCGCTTCTCTGCCAACATTTTCACCTGGCTCCATGTCTGCCCACATGCTTTCATCTACTTTCCGTATGACCTCCTCCATGTTACTGTTGCACTGAGGACCAACTCGCCGCTTCCCATTCGTCTTCCACTCGAGAGATGGCCTGTCGTGTGATATCACTTGATGGTTTGTTTTCTCAGAGTATGGCCAATCCACCTCCATTTCTTCCTACATATTTGTTGCACAATTGGTTTCTGCTGGATTGATTCTTTCCCACAGATCCTTACTGTTGATATTTTCTGGCCATCTGATCTTGAGTATTGAGCGCAAATAGCTGTTGATGAAGGTCTGTAGTTTGTTTGAAGTGTTCTTTGTGATGTGCCAAGTCTCTCATCCGTATAGTAATTGCCACTGAGTTCACATTGCAAATTGATATGCTTAACTCTAAAGCTTTCTGCCGTGATATGACTATCAAACACTATTTACTGTCAGAGACTGGCAAAGCTTGTTCACTGAAACTAGTGAATTTAAACGCACTACTTAACATTAATCAAATCTTCTCCTTGTGCAGTCATAATTGTTTAAAATAGTTGGTTCGAAAATTTAATCGCTACCACTGACATTCCTGCATATCAGAGATTTGAAATCCTCCTTGATTTTCTCGCATAGAAAAATATGTATTCAAGTATTGGTTTGTAGGGATTTGATTGATTGGTTACAGGATTTCATCATGAGCTGACATTGGTTAGAGAACCATTGGAAAACCTGCAGGGTGTACTGGACAGCTGTTTCCTCCGTCCTAGTTTGGATATCGGGTCCCAGTGGCTTAATGGTCTACGAGCTCGCCTTGTAACCAGAAGGTCCTGGGTTCGAACCCCTGTGGTAGGTGCGTGCTGGTGAGAACTCCCAAACTAGGACGAAACAGCTGTCTAGTACTCCCTAGGGGTCTTCCAATGGTTCTCTACTGATGTCAGCTCATGCTGAAATCCTGTAACCAAAAAACGTATATTTTTTTAAACATTTTCTGTTATTCTGCGGTGTTTTCATATTGTATAATAAATTATATTCTTTTTATATTTAGATAATAATAATAATACCAACAATAATGGTAATACTGAAAATACTGGAGAGAATCAACCTCAAGATGCTGTTTATTTAGAATATTATTCAATATTAACCTCATTGGTTGATAATTCTTTCCTATTGAACAACAACGGTGATCATTCATCTACTGATGCATTGGAAGAGAATCATTTCAATCATTGGTTATTGTTATTATCATTATGTAATAATGATGGTATGGTTGACCAGCACCAACAAAATACAAAGAAGTCAACATCTTCCGCTTTAGTGGCTGATTCATCTCACCCGGAGTTTTGTCATTTATGTCAAATTAATAATAATAATAATAACAGCAATAATAGTAATAAATTACCATTCATAATTAATGAATTTAAATTGATGAATTATAATAATTTTGATAAAATTATTAATCATCAAATAGGTTTAATAGATTTATTATCAATTATAAAATTATTAAATGAGCATAATCTATTAGAGTTAATTCAACCAGCTCATATACTTAGTCCTATACCCTATGAATTAGCCAACCTGCTTTTAACACATTGTTATCCATCAATTATTGAGACTGGTTTACACGATACATCTATAAAAAACAATAACAATGATAATCATACAAAAAATGATCTAATCAATATAAATTCTTCATGGTTATGCTTAGCGCATGCAATGAAAAAGTCTTCCCAATCTATCGTTTGCTCAGATAAAAAGGTTAGTACAAGAAGGTGTTTTTCACATAATGATTTATTGATTATAAGGGTTGGTTTAGCAGGGATTTGATTGGTTTCAAGATTGATTATAAATTGACTGAAGAAGAACTTCCGAACAAGGACGAAACATCTATCCAATAGTGGTTTTCAGTGGTTATTTAAGTGATTTCAATCTGTGGCCAATTTCGAAATTAATTCAATCCCCATATAGTCTAGTGTTCACTAGTGACTGACTGACTGCACGATAAAGTTGCCTGATATTCTAGGAGAAAGTCGTGACTAGTGGGGTCTACCAAGTTGGGTGTGGAGGAGGAATACTCATCTGCAGCAGCCGATATATATATCGTGAATTGGTGGAAGTTAGCATTGGTCAGTCACTGGATTCGGTCCCACTGGCTAGATAGTCTATGAGCTCGCCTTGTAGTCTGAAGGTCATGCGTTTGATTTCTGGAGGGGTCATTTGGGTGTACTTCTGAAGAATCGCAAACAACCACGAGACAACTGCCTAGTTACTCCCTTCTGGTTTCCGATATTTATCTAACAAAAGTTTGTTCGTGATCGGTCTTGACTATAAATTGTTTTTTGTACACACAGCGTTAACTATCACTTCGGCGTATTTCATTATTCACCCCTGATGGTTTCTGTAGATAATCTAGAAAACTGTTTTAATATCAAATCTGTGGTTGATGTCAATTAGGTGTTTTGCCTAATATACTCCTAGTAGAATGCCAACTGCATTTATCTATTGTCATTTTTGTGTATGTTTCCGCACCCTTACATGCAAGGTGCGATTATTCCTTCCTGTGTATGTGTCCACACATATCTATTGATACACAATATGGGGCGTGAAATAAACACTTGAGTGATGCTGAAGCTTTTAGCAAAGTTTGTTTTTGGCTTACAAGTGGGGCTGCGTAGTAAGTTGTATGGATGACAGAATTTGATCTCCTAAAATCATTCTTTTTATTTCCTTCATTTTAAGGAAGTCTGATACAGATATCTCTCTTAGGAACAGAGTAAACTGTAGGCCTTGGGCTGAAGTGTGCGGTCCAGAAACTTCAAAGGATCCTCGTTTTTGACGAGCGTATTCTTCAATAGCTTAAGTGCATTAGCTGTACAGATATACTGAGTCGTCTTAAGTAATCATCTAACCAAAATTCTCTTGTATTTCAGTGGAGAGAAATTGTGGAAACTTATGTACTGTCCTATTCAACAATTAAACTCCAAAATCTTAATGGAAACAGTTGGCAGACTGGCAGCTCCATCTGTGACTGGATTAACTGAAACAGAAGGGGTTGTAGTGTTGTATGACCAAATATCTCAGGGATAACTTCTTCAGACTGGTCACCTACAGCCTGTCTGAAGTTTTTTTTTGGAATTGTGTATGTATTGGGATCTTACCACCGCCTACGGATCACTGCAAAGTTGGAATGTAGAATTTTCGAGGTTATCCTTCCCTGCTTCCCTCTCTTCAGAACCTAGAAGCAGTATAGCTGGCTTTCTGGTCATCTGAGGGGAACACCTTACTGTCGTTACATCTTTATTCACCAGCAGTGCGACTTCGCTTACAGGTCTTCAACACAGTGTAAACTACTTACGCTATGACGGTAATTGCTTTTAGTCTAATCGCTATCTAGACGATCTTTCTGTCACGGCGGGACCTGCAGAAACATTAGTTCTAACCAGTGTAGCCCGTTAATTCATTACGACATGCAGGTCCAACCACCAGCTGCCTCATGTATTGCGAAATACATTATTGATGTGAATCATAAGGTAGATATCAAATGGTCTTCAAGAATAATTGATTGATGATAATTTTTTGCGCTTAGAATAAATAAGTTTAAGAAATAATTATTACTCTGTTTTAAGAATCAAATTATGATTAAGGTTACATTAAACTTTGACATTTTGGATGTCACATATGTTTTTAGGTTTAGGTATAATAATCTTCTAAAGACGAAGATATTTTGTAAATAAGGAGCCTCCATATCTAAATGGTTGGAGCATTGGTCTCGTGAACCATGGATCATGAGTTCATTTCTCTGTGGGGCAGAGTATGTTCCATCGGCTTAATCATAATATGCTCGCTTTCGCTTCGCAATATGAAAATCCTGGGGTTGGCCCTTGTGTGTTGGTGGTCCAGTAGTAGAATACTCGCCAGTTACGCGGGTGGTCCGGGCTGGATTCCTCGCTGTTGCACTCCTAAACGTTGTCTAGTTGGTGGTGAGCCCGGAAAAGAGGAACGGTTGGTTGTAAATCGAGCAAATCTACTCCGTAAAAAGCAAAACCACCGCTACTGAAACCTCAAAGCTTGAAGCCCTTTGTTCCACTTAAAATTCAAGGAATAAAAACAGACTTTGTTTGTTTAATTTAACAGTAATTTGGGTAATTGTATAGTTAAAGTATTCTGTCCTCTGTATTGACAGTCTGATCAACAGTAAATGTAAGATAAACCCTAAGAAATACGTTTCATCAAACGGTTGTTGTCATAAATAGCATATGCTATGGGCATTAGTATTAGAAGGTTGGAGGCAATCGACAGGACGCCATGGACCTGGGTTCGGTGCTAGTTGGCACCTGTCGGTAAGGCGTATCTGTAACCTTCAAGGAACTAATGTCCCTACTGAGATTCAAACCCGTGTCACCCAGTGCTGCAGTCAAAGACGCGACCACTAAACTATTCGGGCTCGCGATTGACCTCCTGTAGGATTATATTGGATATTTTTGACTGGACACTAGTCAGTAACTAGTGTAATTTATGTGTCTAGTCCTTTGTTTGGTGCAGACTGAATTGTATCAGTATGTCAGTAAGTGTTTCGCCATCACGGTGCACTGTGAATTGTTGATATTACTTTCAGCATTATTTTCGATGGATTTCAATTTACCACACAACTTATTTCTTATTATTTTACAGGTAAATTGTGTCATATTGAGCATAATACACTTCCTAGTGCTCATTCTTTTTTATTACAAATTCTGTGACTGTTTTGTGCTTGTTATTCTAGTTCTCTTTTGAGAAACTGTTATCCAATTCTTGGAGTCTTTCACCTGCACAGTTTGCAGACAAACATCATTGGGCTAGTCTACTAACAACAACAACAACAACAACTGGCCAGTCTGTATCAAACGCCGATGAAATCAATTGTGTATGTTGTTGGAATAAACAACGCCTTACAGATAATACAACAACCTCGCTATTTCGAAAGTCATGGTCAGGCTATTCAACAAATCTATGGACAACACAATTGAATCGAATGAAATCAAACAGTAGATTTTCACGTCCACCTAGACTATATTTTGCATTTCTGAATGAAGTTCGAGTAAGTTTAATAAAAGTATAAAAGTTATTGTTTATTTCATTCTTCTAATTTTCTCCTCTCCTTGATTTTTATCTTCTTCTGTATGCGCGAAACTGGGGTTCATTGTTTCAGGTAGTTGGTTTTGAGTTAGTACAGTGTAGGCTCAAACTCTCGTTTGAATTGTCTACATTTATCGTGTCTAATATCATCATTTCTTACATAATAGATGTATCTCATTATTATGTAACATGAATATTGTAAATATGATTACTGGATTCTACTTGTCTTTTGGTTTTTATTGTGGAAACTAGATATTCGGAGATCATTGAGTACTTACATTCTATCTAATCTACTTATCCTTATATACTACAGAATAGTTGATTAGTTTGAGTAGCTGGACCGTCATGACTCTCCCCTTGTGATTTATTGCACGGTATGAACCGTCGATCAAGAACCGAATCATTATTTGGCGGCTCTTCACGGGGCGAATATTTTTTATTTTATTTTTATTTTTGATTTACAGCTTGATTCCACACTGTATTTTCGGTACAAGTATGGAATTTTCAGCATGGATATCGGTAGCCCAAATTTTGCAGGCCGACCATAGATATCAGGTGTGCATCGGCAGGGGATCGAACCTCGGACCATGTGCATGGTCGGCGAGCGTCCTAGCCGCTGTACCACCGACTCAACCGATAGTGCTTGGTAGGTAGATCGAAGGGATGTAAGCACCGGACTATCACTTCTCTTGTTTAATAAGGCCAAGCTTATTAGCGGTGTACTCGGTTTTACTGAGCTCAGAGAGCTGAATCAATTCAAACCACCTGACTTCTTGCTGTCTGCTTGGCTCAACTGATAATATGTTAAGTCGAATTCGCCATTTGACGTTTACACGGTTCCCGGGGGAATTTCACTGCAGTTTTTATTTAGAAACTGAAATTATTCAGTTCACAATGAGCGATCTGCTTGATACTTTAAGTGGAAATCATGAGAGCAAGCGTGATTCTATGTGTGCTACTGGTTAGTTGATATGACTAGTTGCATACCACTGACGTCAACTAGTTGTAGTGTAACAACCGAAGACAAGGGACACGAAACAGATCGTTTATTTAGGAAATCAACAGATATTTATGTATTTTCACGTACATTATTATAGATTATTGTAAGCAAACAAACACAGTCTTCTGATTGGTGGTTTCTCGCTGAACGTTAATCCTTCATCTCTATGTGGCCGTTTCTTGAAGGTCAGATCATCTATCTGCAAATTGTATCCGCCTACGCAAAGTCTGCTGTGATTGGTTGTGTTGAGTCAGTCTTTGAGACAGTTCTTATTTTTCTCATGAACAATATTGGGGATATAAACATTGACGTAAATTACTGTTTAGCGATTTCGGCTAGCAGACAGATCTCACCACAGTAGTACTTCGGTTTGCAAAGGAAACTATCATGAAATTTTAGACATCGAACTGTATGAATTGCAAATCATGAATTATTTTGCAAGTTTCGAATCGAATATTCGACCCAGTATGCAATGTTGTGACAGCATTTGCGCTGATATGCAGTTCATAGGATATCATTAATAGGCGTTGAAGTTGTTCTTCTCTATGTGTTACATTTTAGATTACATTCTTTCATTTAGAAAGAAAAGTCATGTCTCAAGTTTCATTGTTTCGTCAACACTTGTGTTATAATTGATTGAATAAAGTTAGTGTGTAATCAAACTGTTTTTTTTTATTAGCTTTAAGTTTAAACAGCTTTGAAACTATAGAAAATTTAAGTACATATTGGTTGATTTTTCTCATGTTTGAAGGCTTAGTTTTTCAGATCATAAGGTAAGTATGATCTTTGAGATACTGACTGGTAAACAGTGTGGAAATCGAATTATGCTTCCTCTCTCCTTCTTTCCCTCTCTTTCTCTTATACCATGAATTGTGTAGGCCTACTTGATATTAACTGGATAACTTCAACAATGGGATTATATGCCTTTCTATTGTTTGCATGTGATTTCATCTAGTTGTAATTGATCAGAAAAAAAAAACACACACACAGCTGTGTCTCCTGTTGCGTGCATATGTGTCTCATTACATAGATTAAATTTAAAATAAGATTTTTTAAAATCATATAATTGAGTTCTGATGAAAATACAAACTCGTATTATTAAGTAGTACATATCACTTCTTGTATGGATCTGACTTGTTACAGTTGGTTATAATGGATTTTTCTTTAGAGCTTCTCTTCTCTTCTCTCTAGCTGTAAAACTTTTCATTGTATCATATACAAATAATTTTATCATTGTTATTATTCCTTGAGTTCTCAGTAGAACCTAAGACATCAGAACTCGACTCTCGCTCTCATCGCTTTCAACTGAATTCACAACTGCCCATAAGCTTTCATTTTCTTTATAAATAATTTTCTTCTTGTTACTCTCGGATGTCCAACCTGTCGCTTCCTATTCGCGTTCTATTTGACGTCTTGTCACGGATTCTGTGTCAATTAAAGGTCTCCTTAGTGTATTTCTTATGCTTCTCCATTCCCCTCCGCATGTTTATTGAACAATGGGTTGTTAGCTGTTTCGCTGTCTGCCAGAATTTTTCTGTTGCGCTTATCCTTTCGAACTGACTATCTGATCTTCATTATCATCGAGTGTGGAGGGTAGCTGTTGACAAAAGCCTTAAGCAACAATCTGTTGTAATGTTTACGTCAAGCTTTTGAACCATGTAAAAGCATTAACTTGCAATTAGTGTTAAGAGCTAGGACCTTGTTTCTTGTACTACTGAGTGCTGTAGATTTCTACACTGATTTCAGAGTAATGAAGACTTGTGTTGCTTTCGTCATAGTAAAGGATAATGTATTAGGATCACTTATATTGAACAATAGGGCTTTAATTTTCATAGCATGGGGTAAAATAATTAGAACTTCCATACAGTATATAGTATCCTTTAAAATTAAAATAGTTATGAAATGCTACCGTATATTAGTACCCAATGAAAAGAAGGTGGTCATTATTTTATTTTCCCTGAAATTTGATATTTGATCATTGACGTTTCATCGGTTTAGTTTAATTAACTCAAAATAAATTTCATCAGTCGGTGTTATTGAAAACATACAGAATATTTTGTAGGAACGTTTTGGGATATCACACTAGAAATTGCTGGTTTCATGCAGAGTTTCTTGTTGCTAATTGTTTCTGGTTGTCTGGCCATTTGATCTTCAGTATGCGGCCAGCGAAGGTGGCAGCTGTTGATAAAAGTCTGCAGTAGCCTGGCCAAGTTTCTAACCCTTATGGATTAACTGACTGACTGACTTCAAATTTGTGCTGAAAATCCAAATCTTGTTCTTAATACTGAGTGCACTGCAGAAGATTTCCAAAGTGGTTTCAGGTCGACGAAGGTGTATCTCGCCTTTCCGATTCTGGCTGGCTGGCTTTGACATCTTCATCCGTTCCGCCCGTTTGTGGTTGAAGCCGTGCTTCTCGGTCGGATAAGTGAAGACAGGAAGTAACCTCTGTCAAATCTCTCCCATTAATTTCGATTGGTGCTGGTTGTTGCTGTTGGTTGGTTATCTTCACCTCTATCTTCTCCATGTTCACCTGAAGTCCTGTCTTCTCTGCCAGCCTCTTCAGCCATTTTGTTGGTTTTCGCCTGCAAGTCTTTTAGTCTGTGTGACATTAAACATAAATCATCCACACGTGAAATCCAGATCTTCTAGAGGTTTCTTATCGGTGGTCCAACGTATTCCTGTCTCCTCGCTCCCAAGCACAGTCTGATGCATAATCCAGTTAACCACGATTAGTAATATCATCGGTGATACTAGGCAGCCAGCCTTGTCTTACTTCTGCATGTACTTCAAACGCCTCTCTGAGTTTTCCTTTGTGGATCACCTGACATGTGGCATTATCATATAGTCAGCTGTTGAATGAGGTTGTTGAAGATTTGGCCACTTCACGCCACAGTGTTGAATCAGTTTCCAAATTACCTCTTGGTCAGCGCTGTCGAATTCACCTTATCATATGCACGTGGTTTGATTGATATAATAAATCATTTCACATTGAAGAAGGAATTTCTTCAAACTAAAGTTACGAAAAGGAATTTCTCTGCTTAATACTAGAAAATCTTCTTATCAGTAATTTTACTGATAATTCCTTACTAATTTTTATGTAATCATTCTTTTAAGGGTACAATTGTAGTTTCATCGCATTCTTTTTCTCTGCTTTTATATGTGTATTTATTTTTTTGAAGTGTGGCAGCTTGAACTATGATGTACTTTTGTACTAAGGTCTATGCTAATCAATCAATCAAACAGTCCACTTTTTATACCTCTTCTAACTATAAAAACTCTTTAAAAAAGAAATCAAAATACTAACTAGACATACCCAAATATGGAACTAGCAGATAGATGAAAAAAAATAAGAGGAAAAGTACAAACAAGGATTGTAAGAAGTTAAAACAAATAATATTTTATCATTGTCTTCAAATCATGCTGTTTAGTTTTGTTTAAAAACTATCATTCATAAGGTGTACACTTTTTCTATATGTGTCAGTTTCAAGATTCATCTGGGATTGGTGCTATTTAGAGAACTGTTGAAAACCGCGGAATTCATGGGCCGTGACCAGTAGGGTAAGGCAGGTTGAAGATGAGGCAGTAACTCATCGAAGAAGACATTGCGAGGTGACTGCGCTATGTCGTGAATTGGCAGAAGTTAGAATTCATGGACTGGTTATTGGATCGGGTCCAAGAAGCTTGATGGTCTACGAGCTAGCTCGCCTTGTGACCAGAAGGTCCTGGGTTCGAACCGTGGCGGTGGGTGCGTGTTGCTGGAGAGTTCCAAAACTAGGACGAAATAGCTTTCCAGTAATCCCAGGATTTCCAGTGGCTCTCTATCTGATGGCAGCTCATCATGAAATCCTCCATGCAATCGAACTGTGCAACATCTATAAACATAGGTAGCAGACCATCAACCTGATCTATAGACAAACATTATTCATATGAATTATAAAATCGATAACAAAACAGCTCTCAGAACTATCTATAAAAACTGTCAATAAGGCATAGTGAAATACTGTGAGTAGATAGCTGCCCGTAAAATTGAGCCCTTCTGCGTGTACAGAAACAATTTTTGTTACATTTAACCTCCCCTCCCCCCCTTATCAGTTCTTATCTAGTTCTTATCTATGTTAACAAGATTAGTGTCAATTATTATCATTCTTACTCTTAAATTCCCTGTAACGTTTTTTAAAGATTTTATTTTACTTTCCCCTTTTTTTCCATCTCCCTAGAGACTGAGTTAGTAAGTAGAGATGTGTGATCAGATTGTTCGAAATGTATCACTCAAATACATCAATTGTTTTTGTGTTTTTTTTTCAGATAAACTGTGTTTCCTTAGTAAATCCATGCAAATTTATTTCTTTGCGTCTCCAGTGGAACACAGAACTTCAAGCTAAAGCCTTGAAGTTTCAGTGGTTTTATTTTTAACGGGGTGGGATTGCTAGTCTCACGCCCAACCTTTCCTCTTTGCCAGGCTTATTACCACCAGCTAAGCGACGTTTGAGAGTACGTCTGCCGAGGATCGAACTCCCGACAACCTGAGTGACTGGTGAGCATTCTACCTCTACGCCATCGACGCACTATGCAAATTTATTAAAAGGGACTAACTGTTTTAAATTAATTCCCTCTTAGAACTCAACACCAATGACTAGAAAACACAGCACTTCACAAGTTATTGATTCTTATTTTCTATTTTTCAGTGAGGTTTAATCATAAATTTTCGACTTGAATTCCTCTCTTTGAAGTATAGATTATTCTGATTCACTATTGAACTGCTGTTTTGACTTTACCAAAGACCATGTGGGGTGAAAATAAGGAACATGTGTGAATAATTATGTATATATGCGTGTAAATACCATATGGCAAGTTATAGAATATTGCTAATTAGTATGGCTTTTGTTTGCCTACGAATACCATACTGTTCAGTGGTATTCTTTTTTTTTATATCACTCAATTGTGATGAGAATTGTTTTAGATCCAGTTCTACAGTTATGTTGTTATGGTTCATTGGTTTAAGTAGTTGACTTCGGCAGCCTGCTTAAACGTTGGGCTACTAAAATTTTCCATCATTTATATTGCCTCTGATTACTTGGATTAATTTTGTTTTAATTATTCAATTTTGTCTCCAAATCGTATTACTCTCGCAATTATTTAAAATGTTTTCAACCGGCTGATTTACGAGTTCCTAATAAACTAAAAAAAGTGTCATGGTGAGTGGAAGTGAGCCTTAAAGTCTACTGCAATGCATCAGATGACTGTTCCTGCGATTATGAGCAAAAATTGCAGGTCATTATCGAACACGATCAATTACTTGCATTCTCTGTTATGTTCAGACATTTATCGTATTACAGGTGTAGTCCATTGAAAAAAACTGAGCTCGAACAATATGTACCCTCAATCTCTAAATATTAATTGGGAGCGGGCATGAATTATTTGACTGTTGGGTTTTAGCCGGTCACCTGGAAAGGTGTAGACTCGTTTTGGGGTCTACGAGATTCCAAGAATTAATTGAATTGCCATCGTTAGTAATATGGTTCAAAACTGTTCTCAGTTGTACAGATGTATTCAATTTCTATTAACTCTCAGATACATATCCTAATGTTTTTCCGTGTAATTATTATTTCGTTTGTACATATCTGTTCATTATATTTCTTTTCTTTACGTTTGTGTGCTACCATGAAGTATGGTAACTTGAGCTGGTAACTTAGGAATTTGCGCACAAGGGCAGCAGTTCGAGTTGCCACACTCCATTTAGTACGTAACGATTTTAAGCCACGTCACCAACAGTCTCTGGTCATTGGTTCTTAGTATCCCGGCAGCCGCAATCAGGTAGCGTACACCTCCTTATCTGCGCCGAACTAACTGTCAAAATTGTTATGGAGTGGTGCCGTGTTTTGGGCTGACCACTGCTAGCTATTTTCAAACCTGATCCTATATCAGCTAACATTGCCCGTCGAGGGAGGCTATGGTTGGGCATGGTTAACACATCCTAGCCGTCTCGATCAATTCACCTTTACGTTCGCATGGATTGACTTTCCTTACCTAATGCTCAACTCCTAACCTCAATATTAATCGCCCTATTATACCACTTCACACGGGAAGTAGGATATAGACATCTAAAGTCAAAGATAAACAGCCTTTTCATGTCTTTCACTTGCAATGGCCATTTCTTGCACCCATAAAGGACAAAGCGAACTAGTGTGCAGTATACACGTCTTTTGATCGATAGGTGGATATCATTTCTGCTTCAGAGATGATGAAAGTTGGCAAATGCCACACGGGCCTTGTTGAGATTTCGTCAACACCTAGTCCGCTACAGCTGATGCAACTTCCTAACTGAGTGAGGTGGTCAACTTGCCGTACCAATTCACTTCCCGTCTAAAACTAAGAGCTGATGTATTTTAGTACCGTGACATCACTTTAAGTCTAACTGGAGCAAATCTCATGCCGAACATTCGAAGACTGCTGCTCAAGATTTCGAGAAGACTGTATTTTATTGGCGTCTTCATCTAGGAGGACATCTTATCATCCGCATATTCTAAACCAGTAAGACTATACCCTAGTAACTGGTTCACTTCTTTGTAAAGTTCTACTTCGAAACTCAGTGTGTATCTCTAGTGACAAGTATTATTAAATCATTGGATTACTAATTGATTCTCAAGTAATCGAATTAAAAACTGGATCATTGAACAGTTAGTTTTGATCTTGACACCAGCACATATCGTTATGAATTCTGTTATAGATAATAAGTAACAGTTCAATGATTTTTGTGTAGTCATATTCTTTGAGCTGATTGGTTTGTTTGGTAAGCTTTCATTATCTATCTAGACAACATTTTCAGCTCAGATGTGAACATAAATTGGTGGGCTTTTTGAGTTCTCCATCAATGCCTTAATTGTCTGTCTTAATAATGAACTTGATAGCGATTTGTTGTTTATGTGTCTTCCATTATGGATAGGATTTTATTTTGATAAATCAGTGTTATATAGTTATATTAATTGATGACGTTTCCAGCACAAACTACTGTTCATAATCATATAAAGTTACTCACACAACTTTTTTCCTACATGTGTGGAATTCATTAGATATTGGAATAAAAATCATTATAGGATAATGTACATTCAGAAATAATAATATGAGTGCTATTGATCAATTATAATCAGATGGGAAATAAGACGAGTGTTTTTATAGTCAAAATAAGTAACTTGTTAGAATGTTGTGATGTGCTTGAATTGAAATAGAATTTTAAGATTATTTAATATCCTCTTCTGACTTAATAATAATAAATAATAATTTTCCCTTCACGTTCCCAGTGGAACATAGGGCTTCAAGCTAGTGACTTGAAGTTTCTGAAGCAGTGTTTATTTTACAGGATGGGGTTGATAGCCTCATGCCCAGCCTTTCCACTTTACCAGCATTATTTCTGGCTTAGCGAGGTAAAGGAGTGCGTCGGTGGCCGGGAATCGAACCCCGGACCATGTGCATGGTCGACTTCTGACTTAACTGTCGGTAATAATATCTTCCATATTTCTGGTATTTGCATTGAGTCATTTCTGTTGCATGTGTTGGGTGTAGACTCAATGAACCAGGATTCAGTAATCCATCTCTTTCTCTCCACCTACATAGATTACTTCTTGGAATCTTAACTCTCTCCCACCCTATTGTGTGGTTGTGTGTTAATGCGAGCAATGCGATTACGGAGCTTTTTCCTAAATTACTCATCTTCTCGGAGTCAATCATTCTTACCTTAGCTAAATTATTATGTTCCGACAACCCAACTACTAGTTTGACCTAACTCACAGTCATTGCAAGGTATTTTGTAAATTACATTATTTTGTCTAATTGAGTGAACCGGGTCTTTTAGCCTACAAAGCTTGTCTCTGAGTGAGTTTACAGGTTTGAATGCCACCCTAATTCCTGCTTTATTAAGAATCCTATGTAGGGCCTCAGATGTCCCCTCCTTATATAGTATAACAGTAGATGACTTATATTCTCTCTTATTTATGTTATCACTACTAGCTTCACAATTATTTCTAATTAGCTGTTAGCCTTATTCGATCTTCCTAATGAATTGTATAGGATAGTTATGTAACACCAACGCCTCTTCTATCTGATTTTTATTTCATCATTTAGGTCTTTTCTATTATAATTATTATTTAGTTGTTAATTGTTCATTCAAAATGCTCTAAACAACTTTGTTTTTGTTTTTTCTTAAAAAATTCTAGATGCTTTTCATACAAAAACATGCATTACATCATCAAAAATTGCATTTAATGAATCACAGTAATAGTTTCCAGTCAGCTCAATCAGAATGTACTTGTTGGGAGTTTTTATTATCTCACAGATTTGATCAATCATGTAATTTATCAAGTCTATCGAAAAATATTTCCAAGTCTACCACGAGTAATACTGGTGGTACTGGTACTGTTATCGGACAATCTTCTTGTGATAAGTACACTAAGTCTTTTCATCAACCTACTACAAGTACTACTGCTAATACATTTAATCCTATGAATTGTTACAATGATAACAAAAGGGATAATGTATACGATTTATCAATTGAATGTGATTTAAGTTTTTCAAATTTAGCTAAAAAACGTTTTAATACTTCAAAGTTCAGTCATGATGAAAAAGATAATAATAATAGTTTCTTTTTTAATAAAACATTTGAAATTTGTTGTGATTATAAATGTCGTGATTTCGCTTATTGTTTATTATCATCGAAACAATGGACAAATATTATTGATTATTATATTAGATTAGTGCGTGAATATATGGTGAGTTTTGCTTTTATAATCAATATTGTTTTTGTCTTTTATATGTGTTTATATATAGTTTTCTTTTTCGTTTCTTTGAGAGAAGGATAGTTTGTTGCTTTTTGTTCAATCACAATGTCTTTTCCATCCTATGTATTTTGAATGGGACATAGAGCTTTTAAGTTCCAGTAAAGGTGGTGTTGTTTATTTCTACTAGGCGAGGAGGTGATTACTAGCCTCACTCCCAGTTTTCTCTCTTCTCTGAGCGTGCTGCCTTCTGGGCGAGGTTTAAGCATGAATTTGTCGATAATTGAACCCGAACCTTCTACGTGGTTGGCGATTGTTCTGACCTTGAACCACTGTCCCACTTCTGAGCAGCTATCTTGTCCTGTTTTTTGACTCTTCTATACCACAAACACATCGGTGATCAAATCCAGGACCTTCGGATTGCTAGGTGAGCCCGTTGATTATTCTATCTCTGGGGTAATCGACATCACTCTTGTGATTCATATGAAGAATTAATTTAGACTGCCTGTCTAAATCACTAAGCTATTAGTCTTCGACTTCGCTTTCCTGTGATGGTCACAGGGGGATCATCTTGAACAATATGGTATTGAAGAATCTACTTTCCTGTGTACACCAGTCGGGGACTCGGGATAAACAAACCCATGAAAACCAGGCAGACTTTAAGCCCAGATGAGGGTGCAGTGATCATACCTTACTGATGTTCAACACTTGCCATATTTCTTGACCTGAAGACAGCATTTAAATCCATCAATTAAAAAGTACTGTGGCAATGTCTAGCCATGAAAGGGGTGGTGAGAATGTATGCTGCATTAATCAAGACTCTTTACTTGAACTTATACAACTGCGTAGGACCTTAAGGATGGCTGTCATCTGAAGTGATAACAACCAGTGGTTCAATCAGGGATGCTCAGGGTCTCCATTTTGTTAATCAGATCCTAATTGGCTGTGGATAGTCAGAGATTGACTTGTTACCAGGAAACAGTCTCGTTAATCTGGATTATGCAAATCACATAGTCCTTCTGGGTGAGGACACCGACAAGGTGCGATCTTTTGAATATAACTCAAAAGTCTAAGTATGTTTGGCTTACGATTCGCTCCTGTCAAATGTAAAATGATTCTGCAAGACTGGACTGTACTGACTCCTAGTTTAAAGATATCTAGTAAAATGATCGTGCGTATTGACCACTTCACCTATTTGGGGAGTTGCATCAGCCTTAATCGACTGATTGCTAACTAGTTCTCAGCTTGGATACAATAGGCCCGTGCGGCATTCGCAAACTCGCGTCATTTTTTTGCAGACCTGCAGAACTTCCTCTTGACCTTCTTTATGACCGTTAGACAGTCGTTGAAAGTGGTGAATGTCAGGAGGCTAGGTGTTTCTGACCTTGTGTCTACCTTCAGTTTCTCGTATTAGGTGGTGTGAAATTATCCAGTAATAATAGAGTTAGGCGTTGATTCATGTTATGGGCCAATCAGGTTGAATAATCAGCATCGATTAAAATGGTTAGGACACTTAGTAAGCATGCGGAGTCATTGTCTTCCCTGTTGAACATTGTCGATTGACACAGAATTTGGCTGGAAAATAAGTTAAGAGTGGTCAAATTGAAAACTAGTACCAACCTATGAAGTGGCCGATAGTGGGTTTTAGCCATGGAGGAAAGTGTAGACCCTGTGGATAGGTCCTCAGGAAGACAACAACCAATCACTTGGGACTATTGGTGGCAAGCCTCAAAACCTTCTTCAACGGCTCAGATGCATATTCACCCCTTGGGATTTCGTACATTAAATAAATCTTCCATGTAATTAATCCGTCTCCCGTACATTTCCATTTATTATATAGTCTGTTTAAATCTTTTTATAAGAACAAAATGTTCAGCGAAGAGTCTCTTTTCGGTGAATTTATACACTTAACTGTACAATCGGATTTATACATAATTATTATGTGTGTACGTGTACATTAGGATTACTTTGAAGGAGGCATTTTTTGAGATGGAATGACCAGTGTTGACGAGATGTGAAGAGTCACTATTCGGCGAATTCATTTTCATAGCTGTACAATCGCAAATATATATGGTTGTTTTGTGTGTATGTGTACGTAAAATTTGTCAAACGAAAATAGAATTAGTAAGTTCAGATGAATCGGTTGTTGATATAAGAGGGTAGTAACAAAAGTGATGAGTTGTGACAAACGATTGTTAAGGAAGAGTTACGTAATAACCTGAATAGTTTGATGAAAGAGTTGCGCCCAGGGTGAACATGGAAACAAAATAATATACGGAATTACGCAAGGGTTTTAAGTAGTTGGAAAAATAAGCATACAAACAAAAGTAAAGTCAAATCAACGGAGTTGTTACCATGAGAGTAGAAGTGGTTGAATAATTTTCTTTTGTATGCATAGTTTTGGTTCTTCCAACTGAATATACACTCATGCAAAACGACCATATATATATGTATTCGCGATTGTACAGCTATGAAAATGAATTCGCCGAATAGAGACTCTTCACATCTCGTCAACACTGGTCATTCCATCTTAACAAACGCCTCCTTCAAAGGAATATACAGAGTGAAGAACAACCTGCCAAAGATATTACATTGGGATTGTCAAACAGAAATAAAAATTAATTAGGGTTATTGTTTACGTCATCAGTGTTTCAAAAATGTAATGAATGATCAAATTGTAACTAGGTGGGGATCATTGTCTGTAAGTATGGTATGTACTTTGCGCCGTCTAAGCGCAAAGTACTGCTACAAGATTGGCAGGAGCCTGTACCTGAACTCACTCTTGTGGGTGAACGGCTTGAAGTTGTTAATAAGTTTGTGTATCTGGGTAGTTGTGTGAGTGCTGGCGGAGGGGTGACGGATGAGATTTCCAACCGTATAATGATAACTAGGGTGGCATACATCAGCTTGAGCCACCTCTGGCGCCGTCGCGACGTTAGCCTGGCTGTCAAAAGTCGGGTATACAATGCTTTGATGTGGGCTGCGCTGCTCTATGCCTGTGAAACCTGGCCTCTCCGAGCTGAGGATGTGCGGCGGCTCTGCGTGTTCGATCACCGCTGTCTCCGCAGGATTGCTTGCGTTCGATGGCATCATCGCGTGAGTAATTCTGAGTTTCGGCGGCGTGTGTTTGAACACAGTGGAGATCACCATTCATTGGGTGTCGTCATCTGGAAACACCGGCTCCGGTGGTTTGGATATGTGCTGCGGATGTCATCCCAGAGGCTTCCGTACAGGTCTCTGTTCGCTAGCCCTGGGACGGGATGGAAAAGGCGGAAAGGTGGTCAGTCCATGACGTGGCGTCGTGGGATCAAGGATATTTGTGTTAGGTTAGCGTCGGTTGGTGCGTCACGATTCCCTTGTTGGGGTCCGAGAGATAGCTCGAATCGGTGGCTCGAAACGTTATCGGATATGGCCAAGAATGGTAATCAATGGCGAACGTGTTGCGATTTCCTTCTTTCTCCCCTTCCTGATGATAGCTAACGAATACTGTTTGAACTTGTTAAACATGACTGTTTTCCTTCCAGATGAAGTTCTTTATCCGTTCTCTACTTATATTTTTTGCTTTTGATATATGTTGTTTTATTATTATTGTGTATCGCATCTTTCATGGTGCCATATTGTACTAAGTTTTTTCTGCGTTTAAATAAAATAAAAGGTGGGGGGATACCAAGGGTTGCGTAATATGAAAGACACCCAGAAAAAATAGGATGTTAATGAAAGATCATAGAGACAAGTATCCAAAATAAATTATGCAATAGGTAGAAAGAGTAAATAAAGGGTTAGCTAAGAAAAAAAACGTCACTAAGATGCCATACAAAAATTCAAAAAAACATTATCAACAAAGTAGTAGAATTTGGAATTAAACCCAAGGCGGAAAGAGGAGGGAGTGGAGAGGCTGTTTCTTCTGTGTACATAAATCAGTGTTTTTTATCCAAATCACTAAGGCTCCGACATTACAAAGTATACGAAAGCTTACCGTTTTCGGCAGGCTTCTTTTGACTTTGTAGATGACTTTGCATGTAATTCTCCTTATCTATTTTGCCTTTGATGAATAATTTTTATGGAAGTATCACACTTTTGTGCATAGAGTTCTGTATTGATGATAATTCAATTCAGTCGGCCTTCTTTATTCTTTCTTTTTATATTATTATGCCATGTTAAGTAATTTCATCTGTCGCATTTCTGGCTGTTTTATGTAAACAATAGCTGTATATATATATATATATATATATAAATTGTGTCCCTTGAAATGTGAACTAGTAATATACAGATAGGGAAAGATGATAATAAGAAGAAATTACCAATATTAATTCGAAGTTAACATACATTTAAAAAAAAGTAGGACAAAAAAGTGGTAAAGTATGAAATCAATAAAAGGCTGATGTATATGTCGAATTCAATAGATTTGCATGAAAGTTAAACATTTCCAATTGGTTGACTGAATGAATACTGGTAGTAATAATAATAAGAAGAAAAAAGGTTAGCGCAAATATGTTTCATTCTATAGCATTGTATAGTTAGTTCCATTAACAAAACGGTATAGAAAAATGTACTAGGGGAAAAATGCAGTTATAACAAACAGTTTTAGAAATAAACATTTAATAAATCGGTCTATAAAAATACCTAATGATTATATAACAATATTTTTTAAAATTCATCATTGAATCACTGGTGGATACATTCACTCTATTATTCGATTTGGTTTTTATATTCATTTCAAAAATGTATGCGAAGTTTTTTTTACTTTCGCTACATTCTTACTGTGGATGAGTGACTTTTGGCGGTATTAACCGTTTTACAGTAATGAAAATGCCTTAGATTATTATTATTACTATTCCTTCGGGTTCCGAGTGGAGTATAGTGTTTCAGCAGCACATTTCCATTCGCCCCTGTTGTTTGCAGTCTGTTTTTAGTTGATTTCACGAAAGCTCCCCAGATTTCCCCCCTATTTACACGATCTCCTCCGTGTCACTCTCGTCTTTCCTCATTTGGGTTCCACTTGACAGCTTGATTGGTATGTGGTGTCACTCAGAGGTCTGTTCAGCGTATGTCCAATCCATCTTCAATTTCTTCTGTGTATTTATTGGGCGAGTTCGCTGCACTATCAGAGTTTTTTGTTGTTTATCCTTTCTGATCATCTGATCTTCACTATTGAGACAGGGGAGCCAGTCGTTAAGGAAAGTCTTCATCTGCCATTTTGAGGTGCTTATAGTGATGTGAGCGCTAAATCTCTGAACAATAAAGAAACATTGATTTGACATTAGTTGTGAAAATCCAGATGTTGTTCCTCAGGCTAATTTCAGTAGATATCCACACCGACTTCCACAGAGTGATGAGTGCCCGTCATGCTTTTATTATCCCTCTTAGATGAGTAAACGAAGTAACTTCCTTTATATTTCTCATACCTATGGTGACCGATGCTTGTTGTTTGTACTCAGATATCTCTATCACCTCGACTTTCTCTATGTTCGCTTGAAATCTTGCCTTTTCTGCCCCTTCGGTTTTGCCTATAGATTTATGAGTTTGTGCTACACTTGACATAAATCATCTATGAAATGCAGATCTTCCAGAGAGATTTGATCGGTCCAACGTATGCCTTACATTATCACTGAAACAATTAAGACAATAGTTATCACTTTACATTTGTCTTTTAGCGTTTTGTTTCATAGTATATATTGACCTTATTCTCTTTCATATATACTTCGTAAAACAACCGTGTGATCGTACATACAGTTAAACAAAAGTCGTAAATAGAAGTGTTTATTATTAGTCAAGTAAGTTATACTAGTGTTTTATATCTTTGTTTGTGAAAATTCACCTTATTGGGTTAATTAATCACTTCATTTTCAAATAACTGGGGTTCCCTGGTTAACTGCTGCCTCAATTAACTTCATCTTGGGCAACTGGGTGGTAGTATCTTAAGTCGTCACATAAGTGGGGTTCATAGGCTTGATCCGTAAATAACCTGTTCTAGGCATGTTCATTTCTCAGTTAGGGACTGTCATTTGTTAAATTCTGAAAATATTATGTTGTGTAACTCAACACTAAATGCATGAATAACTCATTGTGGCTGTTAAATAAATGCTGCTAAGTGGAGTTTATAGATGGAATGTAGATTATCATTGCTAGACCCATTAGGACAACATCGGGTTTGTTGTTACAGTGAGGTTAGTTGAGGAATTTGGTTTTTTGTATTGTTTGGTCTTTACAGGCAATGAAATGGTGAAATTGTGAGATTTCAGTAAAATTCCTGTTCCAGATCGAAAATCATTTAGATAACCATTAGAGACCGAAACCAAGGGGTTCTAAATAGCTTTTTCATCTTAGAGGCCATTAGATTCCAACTCAGTGGCTGGAAGGTCAGCGAGCTCCTCTCGCAATCTGAATATCCTGGGCGTCCAATCACCGGTAGGATCGGTAATGCACATTTATAAAGCATCCCGAATTGGGACAAAACACTTATCCAGTGGTGAGTATCTTCGCCTGTCACGTGAAAGGCCCGGGTTCGATTCCTGGTTGAGGAGCCACTACGTCGGTGACATAGCGGTTAAGACGCTTGTCGACGATGCACATGGTCCGGGGTTCGATCCGCGGCCGACGCACTCCTTTACCTCGCTAAGCCAGAAATAATGCTGGTAAAGAGGAAAGGTTGAGCATGAGGCTAGCAACCTCATCCTGTAAAATTAAACACTGCTACAGAAACTTCAAGCCACTAGCTTAAGGCCCTATGTTCCAGTGGGTACGTGGAGGAAAAAAACCTTATCCAGTCCCCACTAGATAGATATCTATGGTTCTCTAACTGTTGTTGCTTTGTGATGAAGTCCTACCGTTAAGCCAGTCAAGCCCCAGTTTATCGACTTGGAAAACTGCAATTTTTTAAAAAGAAACCCGATGAAAGTGAAAACTTATGTAGCGAGTTATGAATTTGTTTAAATACACTGACATGATTATGAACAATAAATTGTTTTCGGTACATCATTCAGTTATCAATACAGTATCTCTGTGTTATATCGTATGAACCTGTCTAATTATGGAGTTATATTCTAATACAGCGTCTGAATTCTACGCTTACACTAATGTATCTGATTCATTGTGAAAGATTTTGAGATATGTCACAAACAGTCTCAAACCATTGATTCTAAGCATTCCAAAAACCTTCAGTGAATCAGCCTGCACCTTTTTATTTCATTCTTACCAACAGTCATTGACTTGATAGGTTGATGTCATATCCTGATCCGACGACTTCTGATATATAAAACATGATCGATTCAACATTATGGAAAACGCCGGTTTCGCATATGTTATACATGTTTTAACCATATTAATCGATATAGATTTATAAGCTTATCAATTTCACTTCCGCTCAGAACACATTACTTACCATACTACTCCATCTAACTTGAGCAATTTGATGAATAGAGTTACTATAGTAGACCCGTAGTTTCTCATGAATCTTGACAGATGTTGTACAAGTATTATTATTGTTCCCTTGGGTTCATAGTAGAACATAGGGCTTCAACTGCACGTCTCCACTTACTTCTGTCTTCTGCTGTACTTTTCACCTGCATCCATGTTAGTCCATACTCTTTCAACTCCTCTTCACACGATCTCCTCCATGTCACCCTTGCACTGACGACCGACTCGCCGCTTCCCTTTCCGGTTCCACTCGAGCAATGGTATGACGCGCTCGCGATGTCACCCAGCGGCCTCCTCAGCGAGTGTCCATCCGATCCATGTCCACTTTCTCGTGCATATTTGTTGGTCGGCGATTGGTTCTTGTTTCGTTTTTTCCCATAGTTTCTTGTTGGTGATTCTTTCCGGCCCGGCCATCTGATCTTCAGTATAGATCCAGCGAAGACAGTTGTTGGTTGATAAAGGTCTGCAACAGGCTGTTGGAAATATTCTTTGTGACCCGCCCGCCAAGTTTCTGATCCGTATAGAAGAACTAACTGACTTGACGTTTGTATTGAAAATTGCATATATATATATATATATATATATATATATATATATAATTTCAGTATTATAATTCTTATAATTTTATATTTTCTTTATATTTATAGAATGATCCTATAAGTCATCATCCATGTACAAATAATGGTTATATCCATCACATTATACGTCTTCGTGCTTTATGGAAATATGGTCTACCTGATTCCCTTGAAAGTTTATTATTATGCCGAATCAATGAACATATGTTTATGTTACAACAACCAAAAGAAGAGTATCATCATTCACAACAACAACAACACCATCATCATCATTATGGTCAGATAACAGAGTATTCTAATCCTGTTGAAGTGATGCCGTCATCAACATCTTCATCATCATCATCATCATCAAAGCCTTTCTCCTGTATGTCAACCATATCACTGTGTTCTTATAGCCTACCACTTATGATGAATAAATTATCGTGTGAACGTTATAGTGAATATATAAATCCATCGGATACAAATAAAAAAATTTTTAGAACTAATTCCACTGTAATTACAACTACACCAACAGTTAGTCGTCCAGTATGCACATTATCATCTAGTACAATTAATAAGACGAATATTAGTGAATTAAGTGAGAAATCAGATCGAATAATTTCAGTCAATCAGTCATCTGAGTCATCATGTCCTATCTGTGATAATAAGGTAATGAATGGTTGTTTTGTTTTCTAATTTACTTATTGTTATGTGTCGTGTATTATTCACTGGATGATGTTTTGTAGAGCAAATCATCGATTTTAAATTCTGGCGTGGATTGATATCAGTTAGAGAACCATCAAAAACCAGGGAGTACTGGACGGCTGTTTCGTCCTAGCTCGGGACTCTTCGTTAAGATGCGTCATTAGGCATCGAACACAAGGCCTACACGTGACAAAGTGGGTTCGTTTAATCATTCAGCTACCTAGATTGGAATTCAGTGACCTCTGGCACGAAACAGCTGTTTAGTACTCCCTAACTTTCAGTGATTCCTTAAGTAATGCCGATCACACTACCTATCGCGAATTGGCAGGGGTTAGAATGCATGGGTTATTGAATCCCATCCCTGCAGCTGAGAACGCTAAAAAGACTCATCTTGTGACCTGGGGGTCTTGAGTTCAACCCGTGGTGGAATATTGGGTGCATCCTGATAGAGAAATGCAAATTAGGACGAAACAGCTGCCCAGCACACTCTGATTTTCAGTGCTTTTCTAACTGGTGTCAGTTTCGTGATCAAACTTGAAATCGACTAGATCATTACAAATCAACATTTGAACAATTCATCGATGATAATTATTTCACTGTCCTTTTTTCCAGCCGGAAACAGCTACCTTTTCGTGGTGGTCGGTCTTGAATACCGTGATGATCCAACGCACTACACTGGCTGGGGCTTATGTTCCTGCAAGTAACACTATGCCAGGAAGGTTGTTAGGATAGCGGTTAAACTAAGAGAAGTTACTACTATAGGGTATATGGGCTCCAGAATCCAGACTAGTTGAATGGCGTACGAACCTGTGTTGGTCAACCGGAAACGTAGCTCCTGATTGTGCTCCGCTGTCTTGCGGTTGGGATTCGAAGTCAAGGGCTCGGAGGTTGGTCCCTTAAGATATCCACCTGCTTCGGTCTGGTCGCCCGGGCAGTACCCCAGCCCTCGTACTAACAATGGAACAACAGATAATGAGGGAAGTTATTCACACGCTCAAGAACAATGGTGATATTTTCGGCAAGCGTTCCTGTTTAATCCTATTTTTATAAATGGACTTTTACGTTTTACTTTTACTACCCTTGGTGTCTTCACTTTCATCAGCCTTTCGCCTTTGTCTGAATTCCCAGCCTATCTGTGCCATTTCGAGACGTTAGTGAATAATCTTTGAAATAATTGTCCCCAGTGCGACACCTGATAGGGATATCCTGAAACCGCATGTCGCGTTCAAGCTTGCCAGCTACAATGTTCGTACACTGATGCGAATCGGACAACAGGCAGGTGTGGTCAGAACATTGGAAAGCCTTGCTGTCTATGAATCTTACATTTTGTAGACCTTTATTCAGGATCCCAATGAAGTGTTTCAACTATCTTCTGCATTTGAAAGTTCGTATAGTATATACCACCTGCGCTTTTCTGGGGACCCTGTGGAGTCAGCATCCGACTCTTTTTAAAGATGTTGGCGAGATTCTCGCCATGGCTTTAACTGGTCTGTTCAGAAAAGTATGAGAAATTGAGAATGTGCCATCAATTAAGAGTGAAGCCATCATCGTCCCCATCTTTAAAAAGGGTCGACATAACACATGCAACAACCATAAGGGTATTAGTTTGCTACTGGTTACTTCTAAAATATTGTCTGTTGTCTTGCTTCGTAGGTACTTTTACAAGATTGGCAGGAGCCTGTACCCTTGCAGGTGAAGCACTTGAAGTTGTCAATAAGTTCGTGTATGTGGGTAGTTGTGTGTGTTGGCGGTGGTGTGACGGATGAGTTTTCCAACCGTATCACAAAAGCTAGTGTGGCGTACGCCAATTTGAGCCACCTCTGGCTCTGTCGCAAGTTGGGTTTGCAATGCTTCTGTGAGCTCTGTCTTGCTCTACGCCTGCGGAACCTGGCGTATATGAGCTGATGATGTGCGGCGACTCTGTGTACTCGATTGTCTCTGTTTCCATAAACTGCTTGCTTTCGATGGTATCATCATATGAGTAGTTCTAATATCCGGCAGTGTGTGTTTGTACGCAGTGGAAATCACCAGTCATCGACTGTCGTCATCTGAAAACACTGGCTCCGGTGGCTTTGACTTGCGCTACGAGTATGATCCCAAAGGTTTCCTTGCCTGTCTTTGTTCCCTAGCCCTGGAACTGGATGGAAAATACACTGAGGTTGTCAGTCCATGACGTGTCGTGGTGGAATGAGAGATATGTGTGTTAAGTTAATATCGATTAGTACATCATAGCTCCCTGGTTAGGGTCCTAGAGATAGTTCGAATCGATGGCTTGAAACTTTATTGGATATGGCCAGGAATCACAATCAATGGCGAATGTGTTGCAATCTCCTTCTTTCTTACTTCTCTGTAAACAATTCGACGGATGATGCTTAGTCTTGTTAAATGTAACTGGATTCTTCCCAGATGCCATCCTTTATTCATTCTCTATCTTATTTTTTCTGATATTTTGTTTTATTATTATTGTATGGTACATCTTTTTAGTACTATATTGTACCAGGTTTTGTGTTTTTTGTAAGCAAATAAACAGATCATTGTCCTTTTATGGGGTTTGATAATTTTCCGGTCAATCTCACATAGGATTATGTGTGCATACTTCTTAAGCATTCAAACTAGGACAAAACAATCGTGCAAATGCTTTTCAGTTTTTTCAGTGGTTCTTTGCGTAATATAGCTGTATAATTAGCATTAAAATAAATCCCCTACAAAAATTCCAACTAAATAATTTTACTTAATAATTGGCTGTTAAACTAGTAGGGAAAAGCATTTGTTCAGGTTAATTTTGTACTTCCTTTTGATTGATTACATTAAGCCGAAGTGTTTGCTCTCTATTTGCATGTTCATTCCCAGTACAGATTCTTCGACGTTGCCCAATGGTTCAATATAACCAGTCAGTGGGCAACATAAAATTAACTGAAACAAACAATAACTGTTACTTGTTGCACAATAGGTAACTCTCATAGCCCAAATGGTCTAGTGTATAACGCTTTAACTTTTGAAGTCATGGGTACTGGGTTCGAGTCCCAGTGAGAACTTCATCAATTACTGGGGAATGCCGGCACATATAGTTGGCCAGTCCATAATTAGACGAGATGCGTATCCCGAATTTCAGAGATAGTCACCATCTGCTAGATGAAATCTATTCGTCAGGATTCTAACTGATCATCTAGGTTACTGACAGTTAAGAGTATAAGTCCTAGTTTCTGACCAAGTTCTTGCCTTATTTCAGTTATTACGGTCATTTATTCACCTATCTATAGGATTTACCACTCTGCAGAAAATTTTCTCTCATTATGTTCATATTTGAATAGCACTGTAATCTCTGCTATGTTCCTTCTTTCATTGGCGAACCTGTATAGGTTTTTAAATTTCATTTAATTGTCTTGCAACTATCACCTGTCTAGTTCATAATTACAGAATTTTCAGCAAACCAGTAATTCTCATTATTATACATGTTTGTATAGTTTATTTCCATTCTCATATTTAGTGAATTATGCTTGACAAAAATAACAGTATTTACAAATATTCTGATTAATGGTTCCGTATTACTTAGTGTATCCTCAAGAATAATTGCCAGACACCTAACTGACACGGAACATATAGTGGAAGTCAGTCAGACTTTCAAAATAATCAATATACACAGGAAAACGTGGTTAATTCTGTTCGCAGATGCCACTGTCATCAAAAGACTCCGACCCAAAATATACATACAGAGAGATAATGTGTAACTAATCTATCACTACCTTAGTAACCATAATTGTTTTGTTCGCTTGCTTTTATGTTTTCTCCTGTTGCGTTACATTCCACTCAATCTTGATTCGGATTTTCACTTATGGACTGAGTTGAATTCACTGTTAAGGTTCTAAATCTACTAAATTTAATTATTTTATCTATTTTATAATTTTACTTCACTATTCACTCCTACTCTCCACCATAAAATGTATAAATTAAGTCTGTTGTTGTATCTTGTATTTTGTCTCGAGTCCATTCTTGTCCCCAAGCAAAATCTGAAATACACCTTTTTGTCTAGTTACCATATAAATAGCTACTCTCTTAACACTGAATAATTCATCTGCTTACATCATCTTTGAAATTATGTTGCCTATACTCTCTGTCTATAACTTGAAGTCATTGTAAAAAGTATGTTCAGACACAATTTCGTAACTTACAATTAACTTTGTGTAGGATGTACTCAGTTGAAGAGAATTCACGAAATAAAACGAGCGCATATTATCCTGTAAATAAGTTCTTTCTTTTTTCCTATTCAAATTGCTTAATTTTCTTTGAAGTCTATTGATTTTCACCTAAAACCCAAAATTTGTATGACACATCTTTGGAAACATTCAATATGTTGTTATAACAATATACTATATATATATATATATATATATATATATATATATATATATATGCGGTTGTGTAGTTTGAGAATATCACCGGAAAGAGTAACTGTTCGCTGGACTTCACTTAGAAATTAGATCTTTTTCATGTTTATTTCCATGTTTTCCACCTCAGTCAGGGAAATTGTATACGCCTAAATTAATCTATTTATGATGCTCATTGTATGGATTTTTTTCAAACTCTAGGAAATAATGTTGTGATTAAGCGGTTTAGATGAATAACCGTCAGACGTTAAATCAGTATCATTACTTTTCATAAAATTGTCTTAGTTTCAATGTAAAATTTTGCACTAAAGTCCCAGGTTTTGATTTGACCACTCCATAAGTCTTTTCCAATCTAATCCTCCATGTTAGCTAACATTGGTCTTCAAGATAGAGGGTAGCCCCTGGCATGCATAACAGGCCTGTAAGCCATCTCATTTTAATGCAGCTTTGCAATCTGATCGACTGGCTTGCCCTCCTTGCTTAGCCTCAGCTTAAAAACCTCCAGTAGAAGACAACTAACATCTTCAGGTTCCCTGTGCTTAATGGTCACGTCTCACAGCCATACAGAAAGACAGAACTGCTTGTTGTGCAGTAAACACTTCCTTTTATCGATAGTCTAGTATTACATTCACGCCAAAGATGACGTGAGTTGAGATATGCTACACAAACCCTTATTGCATCCGCGTTGAGATTTCATCAGCAATCAGTTCATTATTCCTCACCGACTCGTAGATTAGAAATAGGGAGTGAAGTGGTAGAGCATGTTACCCGCTTCACTTATTTGGGAAGTACCATCAGCCATTACCAATGGGTTGATCTCTGACGAAATCTCAGCACGGATACAGAGAGCTAGTTTCGCATATGCCAGTTTACGCCGACTCTGGCGTTGACGCGATATCCGACTATCGACCAAAAGGCGGGTGTACTGGTCATCAGTCCGCTCCGTCCTTCTTTATGGCCAACTGTGAGACCTGGCCACTGAGAGTGGAAGACATGAAAAGGTTAGCTGTCTTTGATCATAGGTGCCTGCATTCTATCTCCCTCCCGTGTGAAGTGGTATAATAAGGTGAGGAATATTGAGGTTAGGCGTTGAGTTCTAGGTAAACAGGGGAAACCACTCGACGAGGTTGTGAAGTTACAAAGACTGAGATGGTTAGGACATGTGTTACGTATGCCTGGTCATCGCCTTCCTCGACGAGCAATGTTAGCGGATGTAGGGTCAGGCTGGAAAAAGCTAGCGGCAGCCAAACAAAACATGGTCTCATCAGTCAATGAAATCTACAACAGTTGGTCTAAGCCACGTAAGGAGGTGTTGACTGGCTGTATGGGGTCCTTGGGACGGTAAAAACCAATGAAGGCTGGAAACAATTGGTGATATGGCTCAAAATTATTCTTAATGGCTGGCGCAGATGCATCTACTCCTTGTGACTTATGATTTCCAATGAAACTGTTTTGTTCTTCGTTATTACTCCTCCTTTGTCTCACACCTCTGCTTACTGTCTCTATTATACTTTTCTTGTACTTTCTTCTCTTGCTTCGTGTGCTAAATGGAGTGTGGCGACTTGAACTTCCGCACATTTGTGCAAAGTTCTATGTCGAAAACAGACAGATAGAAATTCCTCATATTATTATAATTCTGTTTAGTTATTTAATATGATCAATTTTTATATGTTATTTAATAAGGATTTGTTTTATTTCCAATTATCATTACAGGTTACTTCTTCACCAATATCAAAAAAGTATGCATCTTCGTCTGAGAATAAATCATTACACACTGGTTATCATAATAATAATAGTAGTAGCAGGAGTAATAGTAAAAAGAAGCATAAAAAATCATTGAACACTACTCAGTGCATTATGTATTCATGTAAAGATTGTGAAAATTTCGTAAAATTAATGAAACATAATTGTCATACAACAAATGATTTTTGTTTACACTGTATAAATTCCTGTAATGCTGCTCAAGTTAATGCTACTACTACAACTGTTAGTACTCCCACTGTTGCTAAAGCCAATCTCACTAATATCCTTGCCTATCCTTATGGTCATCGTTTGTGTTATAATTACTCTGATTCAGATTACTTGCTTTATAGTACATTGTTATCTTCAAATCAGGCTGCATTAAATAGAAAAATCAATAAATCCAGCTGTTATGATCATCATAGATACAATGAACAAGGGAGTCGTCGTCAACATCACCATCATTCCTATTATCTGCGTCAACAAAAATGTCAATCAAATATCTTTTATTGTCCATCTGAAATGACAACTTTATCTAGTCCATGCTATAGAAAAGTATTATTTAATTGTAAAGATGATGAAAAAGGTAGGTCAGTTTATCATCAATCCAGTTCTTCTGCTTACCACTGTTCTCCGTCGTCATCATTATCATCAATGTCAGTGTTACATACATCGCATGACAGTAATCATCAAACAAATATTTCTCTTATTGATGATAAATATCCATCAAAATGTAAGCTGTCGACTAGAAAGTCTGAGACTATTGATCATCAGAATCTTCTCTATTCACCCTTGCTGTTAACATTACCTTGTGAAGATACTATGAGTCAGAATATGTCATCATCTTTTACTTTGAAATCTAATCAATCTTCAGATTCAACCACCTATTATTCATCGTCAGCATCATCATCATCGTCTTCTTCGACCAGTCTGTCACGCTCTAATTCATCCCCCCTATCTGTTGCAAGTAACTAGTGTGTTGTTTGTTAGATTTATGTATGTGCTTATAACCTATACTATTACCATCGTGTTGCTGATTCCCGGTCTTGTCTTTTTGTGTCTGTTGGTTTTATTGTGCCGTATTCTGTTGTTTTTTTTTTGGATAAATTTTTACAGATCATTAAGTTTAAGACTTTTGATGCTGCCTTCTGTTTATCTACTACAGCGGTCGTCACGTTTTCTAATTCTTTAAGCAATAATATATATGTAACCAAACCAGCAAACAGTTATTGTTTTTTATTTCTCAACGGTTTTTTTTGTGTTAATTATTTTCATCTCAAATTGTCTTCTATTTTAAAGATATTAACAATGGTTCTCACTACTCTTCAGCATATTTCACATACTTACATGTTTTTTGCTTATTGTTTGGAATGCTGATATCGTGAATTAATGTGTGTCTTATGGGATTGTTTTAATGTATTTTTTGAAGAGCAATGAGAATCAATGGAAACGAGCGTACCATTTATTGTTAACCAATCACATTATTCATATATAGTCAAGTGCATTTTGATTGGTTAATGATTTCTACTTTTTGATTGGGCAAATGTTTCATAGGAATAAATTAAGAACTGCTCTCAATAGTCAATTTGTTTTGTTCACCGGTTTAGGGTATACATTGACTAACCAATTGTATATTTACATGTCTGTGCAATAATAATGGAATACAATTAGCATTTTTTTAATAAAAGAAATTACGTTTCACCCTAGGATTTTATTTATCTTAATAACTTTATTATTATTTCTAGAATGAAAAAAAATCTGTTCATTATATTGGGTAATTGAAAAAAATAGTAAACAAATAACCAACCCCCTAAGCTTCCACTTCTGCTTTTTATTTCTCTAAGCTTAAAGCTTTCTGTACTAACGGTTGAATGTTGTAAAATGGTTTGGTAAAGTAAATTATCGATGTATGATAATAAAATAACCTTGCTCATCTCTTTTTTTCCAGTTCAACTTGTTTCCCTGTCCCATTTCCGTCCCTCCACACATACACACTTCCCGCTATGTATTCTTTTCAAATTTTGTTGCCTTATAAACAACTATGATAAAATTCGAATATATTTTATGTATTTCCTGTGTTATGAAATCCTTTCTTTTACAAAACAGAATGGTGTTTATACACGAAAAAAAAGAAAATATATGGGGAAAAACTTTTATTCAACAAATAACTTGTATATTTGGTTTTATGGAAATAAATCTAACTGGAAGGGTTTTGTATGTAGTCATTTTCTATCTGTAAGATGATGATGGGACAGATTTGGGTACCTATAAGATTGGTTGGATTATATTGATCAATTTTGAAATTTAGTCATTCAAGTAACCGACTAATTCATCCTTGCTGGGAACTTAAGATTTCTGCTACTTTTATGGTGGTGAACTTGAAACCCAGTTAATTATCTAACAAGGTAGGAATCTTGTATCTCTATTATTAATATTATCCATACCTTGGAGTCTAAGTGGAGTACAGAGCTTCAGCAGCATATCTGCATCGCAGTCGGCTCTGTTATCATTTTCAGCTGGCTCGAGAAATGCCCACAACCCTTCATTACCCCTTCAAATGATTTTCTCTGTTCTACTTTCGGACACTCAGCCCGTCTCTTCCTACCTGGCTTCCATTTTATGACCTGTGTGGCGTCAATTCAATTTCTCCTCAGGAGATGTTCAATCCACCCCCATTTGCTTCTGTTTAATTTGTTGGGTTATAAGTTTTTTGTTGACTCATTGCCAGAGTTTCTTGTTGTTTATTGTTTCGGGCAGGTCATCTGAACTTTAGTATCGAGTAAAGTACTCCAGGTCTCTAAACATTATAGAAGAACAAAATTGACATTAGCGTTAAAAATTCGGATCTTGTTATTTATACTGTGTGCTGTAGATTTTCAGACAGATTTCAGAGCAATGAAGGTCACTCTTGCTCTTCTGATCCTGGTTGACTTTAGAATTCTTGTATGTGCTATCTCTTGTAGTTGAAACGCTGCTGCCCAGGTCAGGTAAATGAATGAGACAACTTCCATTAGATTTCTGTGTATGCTGGTGTTTGTTGTTGTTGATTAGATATCTACAGCACCTCTATTTTTTGTGTTCAACTGAACTACTTATTCAATGTCTCTTCTGCCAACTTGTTAGTTTTTGCTTGTATATCCAGTCTACCACAACTGGGAAGATCATCGGTGATAATAAGCAATATTGAAGAAAGCGCTGAAGATGTCATCTACAAGAACAGTGAGATTTTCGTAGTTAAACCACCTAGGTTAGAGAATACAACCACCACCCAAAAACATCCACCTAAACTGTAAATCTTCTGCGCTATGTGCAAAATGTATAGCCAGTCTCTAGACAACAATTTTATTCAATAGTTCAAATACAATAATCACAGTTTTCATGCTGTAAAAACTTAATTCTTAGTTGGATTTTTCTAAATAAGTCCTTTTTACACTTTATAACTATTTTGTCATTGTTATACGGAATTAAATTAACATATAATTAAGTGATTAAAAATGCCCATTAAAATTTTTCAAAAGAGTGATTACCGATTAAAAAATATTCTTTTCGACAGCTTTATCATCACGTTCTGCAGTTATATATACATAATAGTGAATGAATAAGTGTTATTAACAACATTAATGTCTGTTTCAATAAGATCTAATCAATAAATAATATCAATGGATTACAGTTCGATAGCATCAAAATAACAATACATTGAATACCAGAAAAATTAGGAAGGATAATCACACAAATTCATGAATTTATAGTCTCTATCGAAGGCCAGGGCAGTAGTAGGCTCTGGACTTGCTTTTTTTTGCACACAAAGCACTGGTTGTTTTGACGCGATAGCCTCTGCTGTGTGGAGTATATGGTATCTGGGTGTTTCTGACAATTTATTTGGTACCCCGGTTGATGATAAAGAAGGATTCTTTACTGCTGGCTTTGTGGCCGGTTTGGACGAGGTTGTCTAATTTATTAATTAGACTTATTTAATAATTAAGTTTAAATCCACTGAGAAAAGATAACCAGTAAACGCTGAATCTTATACACAGTACAATGATAAGAAGAAAAAGCAGTATCACTGATGACAAAACTATAGTAGCTGTGGGCGGGAATAGGGAACAAATAAATTCAAACTAACAATAATGGATATATCGTAATCAGTTTATAGGCAAAATCAAATACTGATTGTATAAGTCATTTGAAGATAAGCAGTCCCGCCCACTTAGATTTTGTTTTTAAAAAGGAAAGATTGGTAATCAATAAGTTTATGGATCTCTATCATGTTTTATTATCTCTGACCATATTTTGATGTTATTCTTTCTATAATCACTGCTGTACAAATTTACCACAAGCCGAAATAATATCATTCAATGTAGTTTAGTATTGGCTTCATTGTCTAAGCTACATTTCTTGTTTAGAACTCTGCACCGTAACTTGTAAAATTATCCAACAAATTTAGTCTGCGACGTTTTGGTTCACTATAACGTAAATTCACTACTTCATCTGTAATTGGTCATCTCACCTGTGTCTTATATAGTGTATGTTGGCATATTTCAGGAAAACTTACTCTCAGCTTTTTCTGACTAATGCTGTTGGTGGAATTTGTGATCAGCGCGCTTAACTAATCCGAGGTCACCAAGTAGGCATCGATTTGTAAACCGGATGTGCAGTATTATCCTGCAGTCTAGAAATCTGTGTCTGTTTAGTCAGTCCGACGTTCTCCTCATTCCTAGACGTCGGTTCGGATGAATTTTTAATGAACAATTTGACAGGCTGGTATAAGGATACTTTATTTCTATATTATACGCTAGTTAATCAACCAATCTAGTCAATAATCCTTCATTTTTCTAAGAAAATCATCTGACGTATATCATTAAGTCTTCCTCACTCACTACTTATGTCGCATAATTATTATTATTATTTCCTTTAATTCCTAGAGGAATATGGGGCTTCAACTGCGCGTCTCCATTACCTTCGGTTTTCTGCCAACTTTTTCACCCCGCTCCAAGTCTGCCCACATGCTTTCATCTCCTCTTCACATGACCTCCTCCATGTCACCCTTGCACTGACGACCAACTCACCGCTTCCCTTTCTGGTTCCATTCAAGCGATGGCTCGTCTAGTGATGTCACTTGATGGTTTCCTCAGCGTATGGCCAATCCATCTCCATTTCTTCCTGCCTATTTGTTTCACAATTGGTTCCTGGTTAGTTCGCTCATTGCCAGAGATCCCTGTTGCTGATCTTTTCTGGCCATATAATCTTGAGTATTGAGCGAAGACAACTGTTGATGAAGGTTTGAAGTTTGTTTGAGATGCTCTTTATGACTCGCCAAGTCTCTGATCCGTATAGTGAGTAGCGTTGACTTCACATTGGAGTTGAAAATCCGGATGTTATTTTGATGCTGAGCAGTGCTGTTGACTTCCACACAGACTTAAGAGTAATGAAAGCTTATCTTGCTTTTCCGATTCTAGCTTTGATATCCTCGTCAGTTCCGTCCGCCTGTAGTTGAAACGATGCTTCCCGGGTAGGTAGGTAGGTAAAGGAGGTTGCTTCTTTCAAATTTCCCTCATTCATGCTGATTGTTGCCTGTTGTTGTTGTTGCTGTTGGCCAGGAATCTTCATCACCTCTGTTTTCTCTATGTTCACCTGAAGTCCTTCCTATCTTTGATGCTTCTTCTGTCATCTTTTTGCTTTTCACTTTCACATCTTCCAGTTTGTGGGAAATCAAACATATATCATCGGCGAAGTCCAGATCCTTCAAATCTTTTTTTGTGAGTCCATTTTATGCCTGTTTCCTCGTTGGCCGCTGTCTGTCGCATTATCGAATCTACGGCAATCAGGAAAATCATTGGCGATAGTAGGCATCCTTGTCTTACTCCCATTTTTACTTCGAAGGTTTCCGTAAGTTTCCCGTCGTGGATATCGTATAATGGATTCATGAAATATTTCAGGTGAAATTGTAGACATTTACTTGATTGTAGGCTTTAATTGTCTGCATCACTGTAATCCTCCAATAAATAGTCAATTTGGTTTCCTCTACACACAAACTCGACGCTAACATTTATAACGATAGACTTGGTATAGGAATGTTTGTTTGGAATTCGGTATCTCCATGTAGCGCAATCATGTACACCTTATCATCAGCGCACAATATGCACATATCTTCAGTGTTGTGCTATTTCTGACCTTCAAGTTGTGTTCCTTTCACATCTCCCATGTATCTCTACAACGCTATATTATTTGCTTTCTTTGACATCAAATCTACTCCCCTGGTATTTGATGTTTTTATACCGATGAACGTCTCTGTATACTACTGATAAACTTTATCAGTATCACTTGACACAACGGGACAATGCTGTATTTTCTTCGCTTTCAGTAGGACACGAAAAATCAACTGCAAGTATAGCTGAATTCTAAGTAGATGTGTTAGTTCCAACCACCAACTTTCTTAGGTAAATATGTTGGACAGATATTAAGGGTAATTTATTATTTTGACGATTAGTTGGAATGGATAATTTCACTGCAGATTTCATCATAAATCGACTTCAGCTAGACAATCACTGGAGACGATAAAACAACGTTTCAAACTACTTTAAAACTATTTAACTCTGTACATCCATGACCCTATCAGGGATCTCGACCCCAGGACATCACCTGGTGGTGGCGATATGTATCGTGCATCGACATAAGTTGGATTCCATTCTAGTAAATGAATAGTAAATCCACTTAGTTCAAAACCTAAAGAAGCTGAGTTCAGTCCTGGTGAAGAGTACCGCTGTAGGGCGAAATTATTGTCCGGTATTTTCTGTTTTTCAATTCTTTTATGAGTAACTTTGATTCGTGACGAAATTGACACTGAAACCAATCGAATATGTGAAAGTCCAGCTTCTGAAGACAAAATGTGCTAATTCTTTAGACGTTATGGGACTGTTTAGAAGTGGACAGTCACAATTTTGCCATGGCAATGGATTCAATACAACTGGATTTCAAGGTGAGCATTACCACTCAACTGGTGGAACAGAATCCAGAGACCTATAACTCTTAAATGATATATATTCCATGTACATCGCAATCCATCAATAACCATACTATCAGTCGTGTTGTTTTTAATCACAACAATCACGACTTCTAGTTTAAACTACAATGTCGTACATGTACACCGCTGAAGTTTGCAAGCTAAGCAGAGCGACCCGCTTTTCCATACATTTCCTTACTGATTTCAATTTCATTATGAATATTATCTTGAAAATAATAATAAGTTTCTTACAAATCTAGCAAGT